ATCTAAGTTAGAAATATTTAGACATGTTTCCAGTTTTGTTTGGATGACTTTGTTGACAGGGGCCAGAATAAGCCTCCGCTGTACAGAGAAACGATTGTCATAGCTTTATCGCAATGAAACATATTGTTTGGATGGAGGATTAGCAAATGACATGAGGACTACTGCTGGGCTTTGTTAACTGGAGCCTGTGTGTTGTCGGCTGATGTATCGAATTATATGATGATAGGCCAGTATTTTAGATAGGTTATTCAACATTTTTTAGTCATTTGGTTGAGCAAAAAGTTTGTAAAAAAAAAAATAGATATTTGAAAATGATCTCAGGGGATATGTATGTTATGACAAAACTGGAACTCCACACTCTATTATTTCTGCTGGCTAGTATTACATTTCCTATGGACTTGGTTGTCTCTATCTGCCTCTTCCTCACCCTGGCGTCCCTGGAATATTACATGTTGACTTTCCCATTGCTATTGTCCATTCTTTCATCTTCACTTGCTGTGGATAGATTAAGGGTTAAATTAAAAGCCATATATACAATTTTGCTCTGGAATTTGTGCTTTAGCATTGGTCTAGATTTATATTAGGCTGCTACTTTCACTTGATTTACAAAAGGCTGCATCAGTGGTAAAATCTAATGGCTGAGCTGCTTCATCAAACAAGTGACTTTCACAATTGCTATGTGCTATGATCTCAACTTCTTTGAGCATAACCTGCATCTGGTCCTTTTGTGGATCAATGGCTTTAGTGAGCATTGGTTTTTCTCCATGGTGGTTTGCATGCTGAAATTCTGAGTATGGAAAAGTCTGATATCTTTTTAAAAGTGACCCCCCAGTAACTTGTCCGTAGATCAAAATGTGTTAAGTCTACTTATTTGCCGACTCTAATAAAGAATTATTCTGAAACGGTTTTAGAATATTCTTTAATGAAAAATTTGAATGTGATACCCAGCGCATTGTGATTGTGAGGGTATGTCGAGGTGATGGGAACAAGTGTGGGTCTGCCTACGCCACAGTGGTGGGCGGTGTCTTGAAGGAGTATGTACTAAGCTGGTATTGATTTGTTGTGCTTGGGTACAAAAAAGGTGAACTGAAGTATTCATGTCTTCATTGGTTTACAGAAATGTATACACAGCACAGTAATCACTGCCTAAAAACCTGGTCATAGGGGAGCTGAAAAAGTGGGTTCTTAGGCTGATTTTAAGGGGCACTGCTCAGCTTCTACCCATTGACTTTCCTAGTTTGTTCTGTGATTAAATAATGATGCATACATGATAGTGATACTGACACCATAGGGAAGGTAAGTTTGTTTTTAATATAAAAAAATTAAGTATGTGGGTGTGTGCTTGTCCAAGTGGTGTGTGTTGATTTGGGTGTAAGTGAGAACAAGAGGCTTCAGATTGAATTTTTACAACTTGACAAAGGGACATTAGGGACAGACAAAGATGTTATAGTCCCAAGACGGTCTACATGTCTATAGAACCTTATCTGCAGTAGGCAGTATGCATGCTTTAACCACTAGATCTACTGGTTAAGATTTCTTTTCTGACTCAAGCAATGCTAAGGTGGTAGCGACGTCTGAGTTGTAAATGAAGTTGGAAAAAAGGATACAAGGATATATGGTAAAGGAAGTATTACAAATATGGTGGTTTAGGTGTTGTATTAAGCTGTTGAGCCCCTCTATTGTGATTTGGCACACCGTTAATGTGGTTTGTACTATGCTTGGCTTTGGTGCAGATGAGTCTGGTTTTTGAACTTCCGTTGTTTGGGGAGTTTCCAGGGTTTTTCACCTACTTGACTCTGTCCAATCAGATTAAAATATGGACTTTGAATTCAGTTGTCTCACCTTTTAGATAACTTTACAGTGGTACTGGGTGTTGAACTTGTACCATTACCGGCTATCAACTACTGTACTATGACTGATATAGTTTGATTGACTCAATTTGTCTGTGTTGGACAGAAGTATCAGTGATGTTGGTGCCAGAGAGGTTGTTTCTGGGTTCATTTTCTCAGTACATACCAAATTAATTGTATTCATATTTCATTTGGTGCCAGAGAGGTTGTTTCTGGGTTCATTTTCTCAGTACATACCAAATTAATTGTATTCATATTTCATCCCCCTCACCAGGCAAGCTGATGTGCTAATATTTCATATTTATGAAATGCGACCAGAGTTAAGATAATTTTTCTGTTCTAGAATGACATCTGAATTTCAATACCACTTAACAAATGTCGCAGAGGATTGTTTCATTCTGGTGTTTTTGTTGCTTGCTTTATTTCTTGCAGCTGTTCTCCGATGTTATCACAATCACATTACATGGTAGGAAAGTATGATATAATGTGTTGGTTGGTTTTACTTTTGAACAGAGACCCCACTCTGTTCACGACCAATGTAAGAGAGGTGCAGTGGTTATCGGTTATATGCTCTTCACCTTGCACACATAAGACATGACTTCAATTTCATTGTGAGGGGAAGATATATTTTAGTTACTAGTGTCTAAACAGCCAGCCTCCTAAATGATATAAGTTTTGTTGATGAGCATATAAAAGGTTAACTTTATTTTGTTCATATATGGTTTATCAAGAATTCAGTTAGGACATGCTTCAACATTTCTCATGCTACTTATTCTGTTTTAGTTCCTGTGAAACTCAATCCTCACCAGTGTTAGTCTGCAGTATAGTATTGATCAATTCTACCGGAATGTAAATGTGCAAAAGTCCTTACTCACTCACATGTAGAGGCCAACAGCTGTTGCTGCGGCTTTCTGACTGTTGTAAGGGGTAGCAGTAATAGATAGCTTAGCCTATAATTGGGAGCTATTACAAACTGGTATATATATTATATACAGGCAAGTGGTTTTGTTGTTTACCCATTCTTTTACCTGTTGAGAGAGAAAGACTTTCTTAAGTTTTCTTTGCATTATTGAGTTTTATTTCACATTTGAAACTCAACTGGTGAAGCAGGTGGCTTTTTATTGATCTCTGAAGTTGATTAGTTTTCTGCTGATTTTGTTAAATTCAAGGGGTTTCCAGTTTTGTTTCAGTTTTCTATTCAAGGAAAAAGGAAGACGTATCAATTGGGCTCACATATATTTACCTATGTGCAGTGTTTTCACTTTCCTGTGAAGTATCACCTTTTTGTACAGTGGTGTAGAGTAGGTGCATGCTTCATCCGAATATGTTATAACTTTAAAAAAAGAATCGTGCACTTCAATGGCATCTTTTTTCATGTTTTTTTAACCGGTCTTCAGTTTAGGCTACTGGTTTTCCACATTGGATCTGCTACGACGTAGTGTTTCGATATCCATGTTCTCTTCACTTGTTATATATTCGCCATAAAAGTCTACGTGTTGTAAATGATCTAACCCGTTCCGTTCTTGATTGTGTTTTTGTTGTCCTTGTCTGTGTGGAGCAAATGGTATCTGCTATCTTGTTTAGTGTCCTTCAGTGTTCATTCTCTACTGTTCAAATGCTTTTTGTAGTAATTGTCTCCCCCCGGGGCAGTGCCACTGACTGTAGTGACTTTAGGCCATTCCCAAAGGGGGGACATTTCTCGTTCAAACACAGTAGAATTGTAAATGGGCTGACTCATGTCATGCTCATAACTGTGCCTGATCTACAACAGGGAACTGCTGCTTTTTCTTTCCTTATCCTTACTATTGTCATTTTCCTCTACTTCTTTTGTATGTTTGTCACACTCTTATGATCTGCTATTTTCGGGGTGCTTTGATAGTCGAAACAGACCTTGTGCTGTTGAAGCTAGAGAGGTGAGCAGAGTAAGTCTGATTCCCTGTAAAGACTTCTCTGTTGACACCCTCCCCTTGGCGCTCATATGACCTTATGCAGTTGCAGGCGCCGTAAACCCTCTACTATAATAAAAAAAGTAGTAATTGTCCCTTTTGTCTTTGTGTCATGTCTGCCTGCCTGCCTGTCTATCTGTCTGCCTGCCTGCCTGCCTGCCTGTCTATCTGTCTGTCTGCCTGCCTGCCTGCCTGTCTGTCTGTCTGCCCATCCACCGTCTGGCCTGTCTGTCTGTCTGTCTGTCTACCACCTCTCTGTTCTCCCCCTCCCCTCTCCCCTCTCCCCCTCCCCTCTCCCCCTCTCCTCTCCCCCTCTCCTATCCCCCTCCCCCCATCTCCCCCTCTCCATTGTCCCCTTTCCCCTGTCCCCTTTCCCCCTCCCTCTCCCTCTCTCTCTGTCTTTCCTCTGTCAGTCTCTCTTTCTTTAAGTGTATAAGTTTGATTTCAATTTATTTTGCTTACCCTGTATCAGACATTTTCACTACATTTTACTTTGGAAACTGTAGAAATATATATATATATATTGTTTCAAATGTTTATTATCACAAATGAAAATGACAGGACACAGGACCTGGCAAGGGGATATTGAACTTCTGTAACTGAACACAATAAAATTGCTATAATAAAGATGGTTTCTGTTTTAACTTTTTAAAACTTTATTCTCACTGTATTTGGTTTTGAGTTTAATTTTATCCTTCTCAGTTTACCCTTACAAGAGATCATTTTACTTTTCTAATGTTACATTAATACTGTCACTCTTTTTCTAGTTATATTAGAGAATGATTAGTATAGTAACATGTTCTAACATATCCTTCAGTCTTTTAAAGTCAACTTCAGTTTTGAGACTTGCAAGATGCAAGAGAATTTTAGTTTGCTTTTGACCAATTTCATGTCTTTTTTTATGCATGGGTCATGACTCATTATCACAACAACCAGCTGAGAATCGAGGGACACTTTTGCTGAGAGAGAGAGAGAGAGAGAGAGAGGGAGAGGGAGAGGGAGAGAGAGAGAGAGAGAGGGAGGGTCCATATTAATCTACCGATCTAAATTGTATTGATGGGGTCATAAAACACTTACATAAAAAAACCCCGCTTCCCACAAGGGGAAGATAGTTTCCAACAACCAGGACCTTTCTCCAGGCACACAGACAAATGATACTGTAGGCTTTCCCTGTACTTACTTTGATCCATCGTGTCTCCCGCAGACTGTGCCCGTCCTGATCGGGGTGGGCGTGGTGGCTGTGACCGCCATCCTGGCCAAGATCTTTCTGCCGGGGCTGTTCGGGGGAAAGAAGAAGAGCTCCCCCGTCACCCTCAAGGACTCCACACTCAAGTACCCCCTGAAGCTCATTGATAGAGAGGTGAGTTTCTTTTTTTAAAGGTCACCTATAGAGAAGTGAGTCTCTGTGCTAGCTTATATTTAGAGTGAGTCTCTTTATTTGTCGATCGATTTGGGGGGGGGGGGGGGGGCAAAATCATCGATTGAAAGATGAGTTGTTTTTTTTAAATCACTGAGAGAGGTGAGTTTTCTCTTTATTGACATCAGTGAAATCATTGACAGAGGGGTGAGTCTTATTTACTAGCTCATGTCTAGCCAGCACACATGCTTTTGTGCTATCAGCCTCATTATCAGGCCTGCCTACTGCTCTGAATTTCTCAGAAATGTTCTGGATTCGGCAATTTGGGAATTTGAGAGCCTTGAGTTATTACATATTAATCACTGCACCAAAACTGGTCTCTCTTGATGTAGTTTTGTTTATGGTTAGGTATTTGCTGTTATGACGTTGGGTGTCCTTGATTTCGTTCCACTCTTTCACACTGGTATTGGGTATAGGCCGCCGAGAAGGACTCTCCACCATGTTACCTCAGAATTAAAAAGTTCTGTCTGACATTTTTGGCAATTTTGAGTAACTAAGACCACAAGGTCAGAAACAAATGTTCTATCTGCTCTATCAATATCTTAAGATTATTCTGTGGTGTTATCAAGATATTAAAAGAATCGCATTTGGAAAAGCTTTTCATAGTGGAAAACTCAAAATCTTTGCCGTCAAATTTCTCCAAACTAGGTACTGAGCAGATAGAATTGTGTAATTCTGAGGTAGCAACCTGTTGCCGACCTCTGTTTGGGCAATCTTCTCCGATCTTGTCCCTGGTTGGGTTTTGAAAAAGTTGGCAAGTCTACAGTGTTATTATAGTTATTATATCAAGGGCCGTCATGATTCCTCCAACAGTGCCTTACTGTCCTTGTGTGCAGTGAGTGGAACCTGGACGTTTGAAATTTTAATTTACATTTGCTAATCATTCAATGAGTTTCAGTGCTTGAGCCTACTGCTGTGAAGTAGTATGATACACATGTGGAAAAAAAAAATTAAATGGAATTGAATGCTGTCCTGGTTTCCTCTTTAAAATGAATGAAGACAGGAAGACTTCAATAAAATAGTTGCATTCTCAGAAAAAAAAAAGAACCAGACTCTAAGTAGGAAAGGTTGCAGCCCCCTCTCCCCCCGCCAAAAATCCCAAACCCACAGCGAACACAGAATACAGCAAAGAATATTCTAATCATAATAATTTAAAAAAAAGAAAATCAGGTGTTTTTAGAAACAGGAAACAAGCTGTGAAAAGACGGTCCACCTCTTGGTAAAAAACCCACAAAACCAACGACAAACAGTATGACAATAAACACTCCCCCCCTACACACAAATACATGCACACATACACAAACACATGCAACACATATCATACACACATGTCTGTCTTGTATATATGGCACCTGCCTCCCCAGACATCGGAAACACTCTATACAGCGACAAAGCACAGCTGATTAAAACCTGTCAATTCTTTGCCATATCGACAGACCGAAGGGCTAGAACTCAAATGGCCGCTGGATCGGAAAAGTAAAGTAAAGTAAAGTAAGTCTTGTATATGGAAGAAAAAAAGAAACTATGTACCAAAGGTGCAGAAGACACTGTTGAGTGGAGCCAGTTATATGGCAGATGACACGAATGTTTTCCACAGGTGCTGAGCCCAGACACCCGTCGCTTCCGCTTTGCTCTCCCCTCCTCGGATCACATCCTGGGACTTCCTGTTGGTGCGTGGCCTCATATGTTTTATTTCTTCCTCATCACCATTGCTTCATATTGATATATTGTTGATGTTAATATTATTTTTGCTGTTGTTATTGTTGTTATCTTTACTGGTGTTATTATTATTATCATTATCATTCTTATTTTTGTTGTTGTATGTATTACCCTTACTTTTGTCTTTACCATTGTTATTATTACCGTTTAAATTATTTATTGTTTTGACCATTTTTATCAGTATTGTTTGTGTGTGTGGGTATTTTGAAGAGATGCATTTTATTGCATTTTTGGGTACAAGAATCCTGTCTGAGCAACTTGCTTTTTACATTTTAAAGATAGCTTCAGTACTTTGTGAAATCTGGTTAATTTTGTCTGGTAGGTTGGGGAAAATAGTTTAGACAAAAATGGTTTTAAAGTTTCCCTTAGATCTGAATCGAGTTCTACTCCAAATGAATATTGATCGAATGGCCAGGCACTTTGTTTGTCTTCAAAACCCTTGACCCTTGACAACACTTATACAACCCTAAGGGCAACTTTAAAAAAGCAGTTTAAGACAACTGAACAGTTTCAAAGTGTTGTTAAAACATTTTAAAAGCAAATTCATAGTCAAATAGGACTAGAATCTAGAAATTTTGCAAAATGACTTCGCTTTGCTCTCAAAGTATGGGATGGAATGTGTATGCGTGAAGTCTCCCTTTCTTTACTTTGTCAATGTATTTGTAGGCACTGCACACCCCGAGAAAGCACATAAAAGCTGACCTAAACTTTGATATGCGATGTGAAGTGGTTGATTTTTATGAATGAGTCATAGAAATCGTCGTAAATGACATTGCTAGAAATTTCAAAGAGTGGTTTTGTGGCTTTGCTTTGCTCATTAAGAGAAACTGGGTACACTTGCGCAAAACCTGCCGTCCTTTACTGTTTTGCTACACTAATTGGTGAATCCTTTATCCAGGACCAGTGTCTGTGGTGAAGGAGTTAAGCATTTTGCTGTCGTACACTGGGGACCGAAGTTTGTTTCCTGACTGAGTGGAGTAGAATTCTTATTGAGTATTTTGGTCTTTCTGCTGGGATGTTGTATCCTTCTCAGCTGGGGTGGGCACTGACAGGCTGGGTCGGAAGCCCGTCTCCTAAATGTTATAAATTATATGTGATGTGGATGTGGCCGTGAAAGCACCTACATTGTGGGTGGTTGGCGGGTGCTCTGGTGTGGTTTGTTTATTCTTTCCTATCAAATGTCTATAGTCTTTATCTCCCCTCCTTCTTTTTTGTGTTTGGTACTCTTTTGTAATACCTCTAATCTTCGGTACTTATATGACCTGATTGTGTTGCGAGTGCCGTAAAACTCTCACTAAAACGAAAAAAACCCCCCTGTATTAAAACAATTTTCCTTTCTCCAGGCCAGCACATTTACTTGACAGCTCGCATTGACGGTCAACTGGTTATCCGACCATACACACCTGTGTCCAGCGATGATGACAAAGGCTACATGGACTTGGTCATCAAAGTAGGTCAACCTGGCTGTTAATGGAAGTCTGTGACTTTGTGCTGTTTGCTTAGTTATTGTCTGTGCTTTGATACCAGTGCTGTCGACATCCAAATGGTTTTCTTTTTTTTTTGGTTGTTTTTTTTGTTATTGAACATTTCTTCAGAGAGAGATGTCAAAATTCTGTCTTGCCATGTAAGCTATTTTGATAGAGATTTGACTCACTGACTATTAGCCCCTTTCACCAGTCACTAGCGCTGAATACTGGCGTTTTTGGGGTATTCCAAAACAACACGGCAACTCTCGCAATTACCCTATTGTAATTATTTTTTGGCACAATAAAGTTACAGTTAAGCTTAATCTAATACAAAAAATTAAAGTTGTCGAAGTCTAATACTAATTTTTTATGATAAAAAAAAATTGTCATGAATTTGGTTTTCTGAAAAATTTCCACAGATGTGACAGATAGAATGAAGTTCACAACAACACCAAAAATAAAATTTCAAAGTGTTCTGTTTTGATTTGTATGCATGTATGAGTGTTTGGTGAAAATGTAAAAGCTGGGCTGTGCGTTGATTCAGATCCATACAATGAATTACATGAGACAGATGTAGGGCACGGAGTTGTGATTTTGTTGTGCGAACTACAACACCAGTACTAGTGCTAGATCTAGCCCTAAAACTACGACTCGGGCCGTGTTCAGGTACATATCCAGGGTCCTGACTATCAGACATTTCATATTCTGAGTCGCTAGAACAAGTAAAACGAACAGAAGTATCGAAAACAGCGAAATTATGTGATTCTTGTTCATGCGACTTCTTCAACCGTTACTTTGACACGACTGTTAAATTACAATAGATTTTTCTCACTCTCTCTCTAAGTTACTTTAAAAGAGGCACAAAAAACACTTTTACTAGGTAGATTCTATGCTGTTTTTAAAGAGGTGAAAAAAAAAATCAGCTCTTACTAAGTCAGCCATTTTAAAAGAGATGTGAAAAAAATAAGCTATTTTGAAAAAACCCAGCAAACTTATGCTTACAGAGTGAGCCATTTTGAAAGAGATGTGGAAAACATTCGCTTCTTCTTTATTGACTTCAATAAGGTCTACTTCAAAAATGTCCACCCCAACTTCCCGGACGGAGGAAAAATGTCCCAATATCTGGAAGCCATGGCCATCGGAGATTATATTGACGTCCGTGGACCCAATGGCTTGCTGCAATACACTGGAAGAGGTTTGTTTAGTTTCTCTGAGCTTGTGTTCCGTATTCTTGCTTTTTTATGAACTTGTTGCTTACTAAGCCTACCAAAGACTGTGGTTGGTTGGCGGGTGCTCTGGTGTGGTTTGCTCCTTCTTTCCTATCAAACATCTATCGTCTATATCTCTACTCCTTTTTTATGTTTGTTACTCTTTTGTAACACCTCTAATCTTCGGCATTTATATGAACTTATTGTGTTGCAAGTGCCGTAAAACTCTTATTAAAACTAAAACTATCAAAGACCATTTCTCCCCCCCCCCCACTCTCTCTCTCTCTCTCTCTCTCTCTCTCTCTCTCTCTCTCTCTCTCTCTCTCTCTCTCTCTCTCTCTCTCTCTCTCTCTCTCTCTCTCTCTGCTCTCTCTCTCTCTCTGCTCTCTCTCTCTCTCTCTCCTCCTCCCTTTCAACCCCCACATAAATCTGTCTGTTATTTCTCTCTCTTCCTCTCTCTCTCTCCCCCCTCCCTCCCCCCCTCCCTCCCTCTCTCTCTCTCTCTCTCTCTCTCTCCCCCTCCCTCCCTCCCTCTCTCTCTCTCTCTCTCCATCTCTCTCTCTCTCTCTCTCTCTCTCTCTCTCTCTCTCTCTCTCTCTCTCTCTCTCTCTCTCCCTCCCTCCCTCCCTCCCTCCCTCCCTCCCTCCCTCTCTCTCTCTCTCTCTCTCTCTCTCTCTCTCTCTCTCTCTCTCTCTCTCTCTCTCTCTCATTATGATGAGGTTTATTTTTTAAACTCGCTCCTAAGTGTTTTGATTTTCATGGTTGTCTGTCATCAAGTCTGGAGTCTGAACATTTAGACCACGTAGCTCAGCCCTTCTGTGCTGTTAACTCACTCACTACCAGCCATTTTCGGGGTCGCTAATATCTGTGTACCAGCCATTTTAAGGGTAATTTTAATAAGTCACTGTGCTTTTGCTAATTAGCATAGAGACTTGGAATTTGGAACATTATTTTTTAACATAATAAAGATTGCCTTGATGAAATTACGGCTTTGTTTTAGTGATTTTTTTTTTTTCATAAGTTTTCAAAAATTGGTCAAAAACTGCTTTCCCTTTCTTACTCACGCCCTTCCCCACAACTGCAACCCTAGATCTAGGTGTTGGAGGCTCTACTAAACCTTATTCTTCTTTGCAAATTTCCCCACCCAGTTTGTCATAACAATATTCGACCAATTCATCGGTTTCTGAGTCACTTTCGTCGTCAAAGGTTCGAAAATGGTCAAAGACAAGCAATCTGCCATTGTGAGAAACGTAATGGTAAATTCAGTTCTAATGGTGGTTGTCGTGAAAGTCAGTAACTCAACTTGAGCTCGTCCGATTTCGGTTTTGTTTCTTTTTAATGAAACATAATTGAATGGGCTACGAAAAAGACGAACCGGTATTGAAAACGGTGAGGTTTTAAAGTGCGAAATTGCAAGGGTTGCGGGTGTGGTATCACGACGTTGGAGCAACTTTACCCGCAACAGTTGCGGGTGTGGTAGTGAATGAGCTAACCTATACATACTACAGCTTTGACAGTCTTTGACTATACTTTATTTTTAGGGATAGTTGGAGGGCAACAATGGTACATCCTACTTCTTTTCTTGGGGTTGTTTACTTGGCAACTTGCTGTAAATTCTACCTCAAATGTGTTCCCCACAGGCACTTTCAGCATCAAACCGGACAAGAAGTCTGAGCCTCAGGTGAAGAAAGCCAAGAAGATTGGAATGATCGCTGGTGGAACAGGTAGGATTACTGAGGGCAGGGAATGAGCAATGCAATTACAGATGTATTTGTTTATTGTATGGTTTAAATTAATTTTTCAACACTAAGTATATTTATGAGGGGGGGATTTCAGAATTAAACTTTGGTCTCTGATAGGGTTGAGTCAAGTCGGGAGAGAGCCTTGAACATATTTCCAAATGATGTGAGTTCAAGAATGTCCCATTTGGAATTTGCACTACGATCATCTGCACTGCAGCCCGATATGATGCCAACTGAGCTAAGTATAGGCCCGAATAGAGTAGTTTGGGGGAGAATAAAAAGATTCTATGACTTCAGTGAGTTACTCTTTCCATGCTTCTGATATGGATAGTTAAATGTCTAACAAATTGATAGTGTTTCATGCAGTTGTGATTTGCTTGCCAAAATTGTTTATTTGTATATTTTAACTTTGTTGTTTCTTGTTTTCAGTTGATTGCTGTTTACGTCTCTTTAGCTACTGAAATTCTGTTTAAAGTTGGAGACTAGTTTAAAAAAACCATATATGAGATATTGCGGTTACGTATAATGTGAAAAGAACTGGGAAACACTGTATTATCATCATAATTAGTGCACTAGGAGGATAGAGGAAAGTTGAAAGCTGGGAAGCAAAAAATCAGAGCTGCCTCAGTTCATAGTAACAATAGGTAATCAAATCAAAAAACAAAAAAAAACAAAACAAAATTATAACAACATCGGAACTAGAAAACTCTGTACTCTACATATTTGATAATTGATTACAGGCTCATGAAATCCCCTCTTCTTTTCTTTCCTTCTTTTGTTTCTGTTTGTCTGTCTTACTTCTCTCTGCAATAAGTGACCATTATTTGGTCCATGTGCTTTTCTGTGCCCCAGCTGCGGAGAATGGTGCCATTGGTATGCCTTACTTCTTTATTTCCTTCTGGTATTTTTGTCCGTCAGTCCTGCTCTTTCCTAGTGAGCTAGCTAGCTTTAAACGATGTTTTTTGTGTCAGTGTGCTTATCTTGACTCCAAATTTGAGCTTGACTCAAACTTGTTGGAGGTTGATGGGTGCTCTAGTGTGGTTTGCTCCTTATTTTCCATGAAAGTCGTTTCTCTTCTTTTTTTTCTTCTTTGTTACTCGTCTTTCTTGTAAGGTATGCCATCTAATCTCCGACGTGGGTGGTTGGTGGGTGCTCTGGTGTAATTTGCTCCTTCTTTCCTATCAAACATCTATCTTCCTTATCTTCCCTTCTTCTATTTTGTGTTTGTTACTCTCTTGTAACACCTCTAATCTTCGACACTTATAGACCTTTTTGTGTTGCAAGTGCCGTAAAACACTCAGTAAAACTAAACTAATCTCTGACACTTTTGTGACTCATTTGTGTTGCAAGTGGCGAATTATTCTAACTGAAAGTGAAACTTAACTAAACTCAGTTTTACTTTGGTGTCTCCCCCCGCCACCCCACATAGGTATCACCCCAATGCTTCAGTTGGTCAGGCAGGTGTTCAAAGATCCAGAGGACCAATCAGAACTCTGGCTTCTCTTTGCTAATCAGGTGAGTGAATGAGTGTGTGTGTGCGTGCATGTGTTTAGTTGTGAATGAATTTGTAATGTAATAGTGTGCCAGTTCTACAATGGTACTACTAAATACTTGCGAATCTGTTCCCAAGCAAGATCAGGGTAATAACAATTAAAATGAAGTGCATAAAGCGTGCTGTCGAGCACGAATATGCGCTGTATAAATGCAATTATTGGTATTGTTATTATTATCATCCAAATCTCTCTACGTTTTTTCCTTCTGTACAACAATGAATCACTGTTACCAACAAATTGTCATTACAGACAGAAAAGGTGAGTATTTGATGGGTGCTCTGGTGTGGTTTGCGCCTTCTTTCCTATAAAAAAATAAATCGTCTTAATTTCTCCGTCTGTTGATAGTGTGTTACTCTCTAGCAACACCAAAAATCTTGGACACTTATACAACCTAATTGCGTTGCCAGTGTGGTAAAACTCATACTAAAACTCTTACTTCAAACTCCCAACAGACGGAGAAGGATATCCTGCTGAGATCAGAGCTGGAGGAGGTGCTGAACCAGCAGCCTGACCGCTTCCACCTGTGGTACACGCTGGACAGACCCGAAGCTGGTGAGTCGTAGCCTCAATCATAGGTTGTTTTGTCTTTTCTGGACCATTAACTTACTATTTTTCTTTTCATCTTTTCAATTGCAACTTTTAAAGTTTGTACATCATCATCATCATCATCATCACCATCATCACTGCCTTTCTCACTCTGCATCAGGGAATAGACCACAAACGAAACACTTTCCACCTTTCTTTTCCAGGGCTAGCCTCTTGATATTATTCTATGTCTCTATGTTTTTCAGGACATCATTTTCTTTGACTCTTTCTTCAGTTTCCGTGTAATGCACTATGCAGTAACTATGTGTCGGCTTTTTGAATATTGTGTATAAAGGAAGATGGAGATGGAGAGACTAAGACACGAATTGTGTGTGTCTTGTAATCAAGTGTGCTGGTGTCTGTGACAGAATACCTCTGATTGGTCACACAAATAGGTTGTTTGTCTCTGATAGGTTAGTTGCAGCACACAGTGTATGATACGCAATAAGCATGTAGCGATTAATGGTGCAAGGGGATCAGCGGTTCTTGGGACTAGAGCAGCCCGGGGTTTTGTTTGTGGAGAAAAATTGTTTCATAATGAGTTTTGTGTGGGGAAATTTTTTTTTACTGAGTTTAAATTGGTGAGAAAAATGTGCAACGCTACATCAGCAGAGGCTGCTCAGTCCGCAATTTATTTGTTTAGGTATGTGGTGACTATGCATGGGTCATTTCTTGATTTTAACACATTACACCCTAACTCGCCCGGAACCACCCGCGCCGACCTAGCGCCTTTAGAAACGAAGTCTCGTCTTGAGGAGACTGGGGCCGAGATTTTGATTTGCGTAGTTATTGCAAAAAATTTATTTTTTCGTTTGATACCGAAACGAAATTTTTCAGGCCAGTAGTTTTAGTATTACAGCCAATAAAGTACGATTGCGTTACAGACACTTTGAAGGAGTCTCGACTTGTTGAAAAGCGACACAATTGAGTTTGAAAAGGAACTAACGATGGATTTGAGCGAAAACAAGCATATGACATATCAGATGACTCAGATTTTGATGAAAACGTTGTTGCAAGAGTTTGGGGCTATTCAGATTGATCAGATGTAGAAAATCTAGAATTTAGATCGAGGGCCCAACTGCGAGGCTGAGAGTGAGAGTGACGGGTCGGACACCCCCATTGAACTAAAGTTATAACATTTCCAACAGTTTGCGCATACATTAAGTTATATTTTTTCTGAAACTACGTTCATTTTTCTTTTTAACTTTTATTTTTTCAGGATTTTGGGAATTTGTTTAGTATTTTTAAAATGTGTTTTTTAAACGCTTGTATTCACGGGAGGTGGGTTCCTTCCCCTTGACTAGGAACTTGGGATGGACTTCCCCTCCGGCATTTAGGGTGTAATGTGTTAAGGGATTTTTAAAAAAGTGCTGGAATCCCTTCTTTTGGTGTATCTGAGATAAATAGATCAATGTTAGTTTCATGTTTTGTTGCATGTGTGTGACTGAATTGATACAGCTATATAGGCTGCATTTGTAACTGTGTTTATGTGGCTATGTATTGAACTGTAACTGTGTTGATGTGACTGTATACAGTTAAACCTGTGTAAGACGGCCACCCATTGTCAAGGAGGAAAGTGGCCGTATAAGACAGGTGGCCGTCTTAGGCAGGACTGATCAAGATGAAGAAAACAAACCAATCCCTTTTGAGGTCTCAATCAAAAGTAGCCGCATTATTGTTGTTTTTGTTGTTGTTGTTGTTGTTGGTTTGTATTTTGTTTGTAATTTTTGTTTTGTTGCTGATTTTGCACAAGGGTGACAATAAAACGAAATGTATTAGAAGAGGAGAACCGAGCGCCATGTTAAAACTAACACTTGGGTCGCCACCACTCGAAGAACGAGCGACGCTTCAGTCACAAGTTCATGTTGACGCCCATTGTTGCTTTGTTACAGACTGGGTAAACAGTGACCACTCATTTCACTTTCGATTTGTGTATGAGTTCTGGGCGGGGCTTATGGGTTATGAAGGATCACACGCTAACCTCACCAGCAGCTGAAATTTGGTAGCTATTGGTCAACAGTGGAAGGGGCCTACGCAACATGATGGGCTGGAGGGACAACCTAACAACAACGACAGGTGATTGAATTATGACGGCTCGCCCACAACGCCAGGGGCCAAATGCACAATTGATGACAAAACGTAATGGAGACATGACTAAGGTGGCCGTCTAAGACAGGTGTTTTTGCTTTGTGTGATAGGGGTTGTGTGTTAAAATATGGTGGCCGCGGCTGCGTTGGACAGGTGCCCGTTTTACACAGTTAAATTATATAGAAAAAACGCAAGGGGGGAAATGGAAAGTGGCCGTGTGTACAGGTGGCTGTCTTATAGAGGTGGCCGTAAGGCCAGGTTTGACTGTATATCATGTATGTGTAACTGAGTTGATGTGGCTACCTACATCATGTATGTGTAACTGAGTTGATGTGGCTACCTACATCATGTATGTGTAACTGAGTTGATGTGGCTACATACATCATGTATGTGTAACTGAGTTGATGTGGCTACATACATCATGTATGTGTAACTGAGTTGATGTGGCTACATACATCATGTATGTGTAACTGAGTTGATGTGGCTACATGCATCATGTATGTGTAACTGAGTTGATGTGGCTACATGCATCATGTATGTGTAACTGAGTTGATGTGGCTACATGCATCATGTATGTGTAACTGAGTTGATGTGGCTATATACATCATGTATGTGTAACTGAGTTGATGTGGCTACCTACATCATGTATGTGTAACTGAGTTGATGTGGCTACCTACATCATGTATGTGTAACTGAGTTGATGTGGCTACCTACATCATGTATGTGTAACTGAGTTGATGTGGCTACCTACGTCATGTATGTGTAACTGAGTTGATGTGGCTACATACATCATGTATATGTAACTGAGTTGATTTTGTGGCTACATACATCATGTATATGTAACTGAGTTGATGTGGCTACCTATATCATGTATGTGTAACTGAGTTGATTTTGTGGTTCTATTCATCATGTATGTGCGTCGTCCACAGGCTGGAAGTACAGCTCTGGATTCATCAACGAAGAGATGATCAAGAAGCACCTTCCGGCTGCCGGGCCGGATTCGCTGGTGGTCATGTGTGGACCTCCGCCCATGATCAACTTTGCCTGCATCCCCAACCTGGACAAGCTGGGCTACAGCCCCGAGACACGGTTCAGCTACTGAAAAAATCTGGAGCTTACTAAAATGCGTACTGTCAGAGAGACGTGTACATTTTGTTCCCTCCTCAAGTCCTCAGATTGGCTGGGTCTTGGTTAGTGATGTGAAGCAAAATAGAGAGCTTTATGGAATATGCCTGGACTTTGATTGAGAAAGAGAGACTGTAAATCTTGGAATGATTGAACTTGATTTGTTTTTACTTTTTTTTCCTGTTATCTGTATGAAGTTAAGAGAGAAAGGCGCTTAATGAAACGTTTTTGTCTAGCAGAATTTTGTTAATTTATTTGTACAAGAAAGTAGAGAAAATAATATAGCTCTTTATGCAGAACGATGAAAATGTAAATTCTGTCTGTAATTAGCTTGAAATGAATAAACATCTAAGGGGTGTGAAATGTGGAGTTTTAAGGTGATGATGAAGTGCTTTTGTTAAACTTTAAAGCATACTGTACCTGGTATTTTTTTAAGAATCTTTTCATTTTCAGTGGAGTGTATAATTGTAGGCCTTTCATGGGTAAAAACATTTTTAGATATTTTTTACTTTCTGACAATCAAATGTTAATACATGGTTGCAGAAAATTTTGAAACATTCATTATCATTTTCTGAGAACTTTCATTGTTGTTTGTGCAGAATGTATAAATAATCAGTTTGTTAATCCATTTGTTTCGTAGAGGAGTCATGAAAGTGGTTGGGATAAGACTGAAGCTGTGTGGTGTTTGTGCTGTGAATTATTATTTTTTTCCTTTCTGTTTTCCCTTTTTTGTTTGAGTTCTTTATTGGTATGTATGGATGCTGCTAGCCAAAATGCATTATGAGGTAAAAGTGGTGTACCAAATTTCTTCTTTGTTCTGGTTTGGAGACAAAGTGTACTTTTGTAACTACTGATTCTGAATAGTTTTGAAGTAACCAAGTCAGTAAATTGATACGAGCTTATTTCATTGTCGAAGAATGGGCATTTTTTCGGTCTTAACAGTGGTGCTAAAGTGCGTAATTTTACATTTATCTTTTATGTACTTGAAGTGGCAATTTTCTGTGGCATTTTATAGGAGGTGTGAAGACAATTTCTCTTCTTTATTATACTCTTCTGTTACCTGTATGCCAGGGAGAATGTCTGTGTGACTGCATGACAGGATATTCTGACATAGTATGGTGCATCATATTACAGCTATTTCCTTCATGTATATATATTTCTTTAACAAATATCATCATTCACAGACTAGGCCAAACAAAAAACAGATTGAGTGAGACACTGGAGGCCTGCAAATTTTGTTTGTGACTTGGTAACATCTGTGTGACCATGTGCATTGTCAAGGTATATAACGTTCAAGCTTGTTCAAGAGTGGAAGAATTTTAGAAACAAGAAATGAGAGAGTTTATTTGTTTATTCAGATGGCTAAATGAAGGTTCCTGGTTGGAACACCTCAGAAATCTTGATCTTGTGAAAGAGGAAGAACAGGTTAAACATTTTTGCAGCCAAAAGTGGACTTTGTTGCTGATATTTCTTTGATATTTTTGGGGTATATTTCTGTAGAACTGGATTAGCAAACAGAATATCTTGTTTTTTTTATTGGTTTTTTAAAAATTGTTGCTCATTTATCTTTCATTCCTATGAAATGTGACAGAAATAAAATGTTTTTGAAACTGTTTATACGTCCCTTGTTGCTTATGAAGTGGAACATTTTACATTGGAAAATCTTCAAGCTTGTGCCTTTCATTTTGGTTTTCTACTTCCATGACACAACTGTAGATTACATTATTGAGTACTGTAGATTGTAAGAATATTAGACATTAGAGCTCAACCCATAATTGCCTAAAAAACAAAAGTGTGCTAACTAGTCCAATTGGGTGTGCTTTTTAATATTGCGGATTGTTGTGGGAAGTAAAGCATCACTGGGAACCGATAACGATACATAATGTGTGTATGGATTTCTCAGTGGAGTTTGTTTTTGCTAACAAATGTGCTCATCTTTTTTGTTTGAGTACTGTGAAGAGAGGCATTTATAGTGCGATAAAAAATTAGTGGCGCAACTTATCGTCAAATATCTTTTTGATGGGTGACTTTATATAATCCAAACTTTGCACAGCTGTTTATATCAATTTGTCTTAACTTTGTCAGATTTTCCACAACAATTCAGGTTAGATTTACAAAACTTTCCTTCATAAATTTATATAAAATACTATAAATCTCCATCACACGGAAAATAGAATTGTTCACAGCACTTCCCGCTTCTCACACACATTTTACATATGTATATATGGCCTACAGTCACAGCTCACCAATGATACTTTTTAGCGTCAGAACTTGTTACAAGAAATTAATTTTATAGTGAACACCTTTTCGCACTAAAGGTTCTCAAAACATGCGTTCAATAAAAATAGTGTCACGATTAGAAAAAAACGACAGATTTGCTTTTAAAAGCGATATTGCCCCAGCTGTAAACCTTTTAAAATCTGTTGATACCACTGGATTTTTTAGAATAGAGCTAACAGGTGTTTACAAAAATATTGATCTGTTATTAATACAAGTTATTGTGCAAAAGCTGGAGAGTCTACGTTCGATAGTTTAGGAAATATTTGACAATAAGTTGTGCTACGAATTTTTGACAACACTCTAGTGCAGAGAAAAAGTAAGCCAGACAACAGATATGATCGTTGGAGGGAAAGAAAAGAAACAAAAAAGTTGGACTAGCGACTCCCTTGAAGCAGCTGCTGTCATCATGTCCTTACTGTTTGAGCCTAGTTCATCGTCATGGGGCATGAGGTGTTTCATATTAGGGTAGCGGGTCACAAAGTAGCTTTCGAATTATTACCGCCTATTATTGCAATGTTCAGCTTTTTTGTCAACACAGCTTTAGTCTCGGAGCCAGAACAGAAAAACTTTATTCTACTCCAGTACATAATTATAATAATGTATGTATTATCCATTGTCACTGTTTGTACATTGTAAGCTGTTTTTCTTTATTTTAGCAATGCATCCATAACTAACAAGAATTCTTATTGTTTTCACAGTGAACTTTTATTGCTTGCTGTTTTGCAATTTGGCTCTTTGGTAAAAGAATGAACATTGTTCCTTCTGGTGCAGTGAAGAGAAATGTACAGACGAGTTGAGCAATGTGTGTCTCCAACTACGTGCTGTGTCGGATCTCCAAATGTCAATTTTCATTTTTTTCTCCTTCTATTGCCGTCACTTGGGCCTGATCATAAGTCTGTGTCCAAGTGATCTACAGACTCTTTTTTTTTTTTGCGGAACTCTTAAGGCATCTTGCTTTGTGTTCCTTTTTAGCATGTTTTTTTCAATAAAAAGAGATTAGCTGTGAAACGTGTTGTGTGATATATTTGATAATACTAGTAGTTTGTGTGTTTGTGTGTGTGTGTGTGTCTCTTTTCTTTTTCTTCCTAATGTGCTGTGGCTTACGTTTAAAATTGAAATGGTGATGCAAACTGTACTGGGTTGCAGTGTACGGCTTTGGCCAGCCGGGCTAAGCGAATACCAGCATGTGGTTACACTAGTTACAGTTACAGACTTGTTTCCAACTCGTAAGCCTACCTAGATCTAAGTCTAGCCTCAGGTAAAAAAAAATTAATTTGTGACATTTCTGCTTCCCTGTTGTCATTCCACGCCAGGAATGCTTATGCCGTCCTTCCCTACGACATATGTGCACACAACCACACATGTGTTCCTCCTATACCGCGTATTTGAGACATTTTGTCGATTTCAATGATGTTTAATATAAGTTTGCTCTTTTACGTGTTCCTCCTACACCACCTATATTTAAGACATTTTGTTGATTTCAATGAATTAAAAAGTAGGGAATTTTTTGTTGAATCCAAATTTGTTATATTCACTTTTCAGGACGATTGATATTTATTAGAAAAGAAGGAGCAAACCACCAGAGCGCCTGCCAACCACCCATGTGGTGGTGGTGGTGGTGGTGGTGGTGATGATTTAGTTTTAGTAAGAGTAGAGTTTTACGGCACTTGCAACACAATAAGGTCATATAAGGGCGACCACATAGAGAATGCTGTTCCCTAACGCTTGAGGCTGTAGTGAAAATAAAAGAACCTCCAAATGAAAACCGTTGCCTCCCATATAGATAAAGCTGCCATTGAGGATGCGACGGTGAGGAACGGCACTGACGTTTCTCGCGGAATCCAAACTACATTCTTTCCAAGGCCATCCAAAACTGTCTCTAGCCTTGTTTTCACGTAGCGGTTGTACCAAAGCAGTGCTTCTACTTACGCCTATAGTTTGATGTAGCAAGTGATTCAACCATGGACACAGATGCGTTTATATCAGTGTACGTTGGAACTCCCATTTGGGATAAACGTAACAAAGTCCACACTGTACATGTATTTTTACTACTAGTAGGAAACAAATAGTGTTATTGAATGGCGTAAACTTAGATCTAACACTTAATAACATACGATGATGATGATGGTGATGAAAATGACGATTATAGAACTACGCGCTGTCACTCTTTCTCTCTCTCTCTCATAATTTGTCCAGCGTGATCTAGCTATAGATAAAAGGGTTCTGGGCGAAATATGAGGTAAAAATGTCTCTCACACCTTTAGCATTTAGTGGTTCTACCAGCAAGCTCCCATGTCACATCCGATCACGGGAATGACACTTCAATAAGATTTTGGACGCCTTCCCTGTCTATTATGGTATAGGAAGAATGCATATATACGCTTGATGATAAACGGCCTGATGTAACAGCGTTCTCTATGTGGGGTCAAGCAGGCACTTTCCGAAGCTTAAACGGCTGACAGCGCTGCTGTTAAAAGTAAGGCCTCAAGAGGCTTTCTCTATGAGAGTGCTGAAGATTAGAGGTGTTACAAGCGAGTACCGGTAACAAACACAAAAAAGGAGAGGTCAGGACGATAGATGTTTGATAGCCGATAGCAAAGAAGGAGCAAACCATACTAGAGCACCTGCAAACCACCCTCATGACGGTGATGATGACAACTACACAATGCTGATGATGATGAGCTCCTAGGGTGTACCCAAACTCAAGAGTTCTGAGAGTGAGCTTTTCGGAAAGATGCCTAGTCATAAACACTCACGTGAGAAGAGAAAACCTGCTGGAATTGATAGTTTTTTTGTTTTTAAAAAAAGTTTTAGTAGAGGTTTTAAGGCGCTCGCAACTGCATAAGGTCACATGAGCGCCAAGAGGTGGATGTCAACAGAGAAGTCCTTACAGGGAATCGGGCATACTCTGCTCACTTCTCTAGCTTCAACAGCACAAAGTCTGCTTTGACTATCAAGGCACCCTCGGAAATAGCGGTTTACAAGAGTGTGATAAACATACAAAAGAAGTAGAGGAAAATGATGAAAGTAAGGAAAGGGAAAGAAAAAGCAGCAGTTCCCCGTTGCAGTTCAGGCACAGTTATGAGCATGACATTGATGAATCAGCCCATTTACAATTCTACTGTGAATAAGAACATATTAATGTCCCCCCTTTGGGAATGTCCTGATGTCCTAAAGACAGTTCAGTCTGTAGCACCACCCGAGGGGGGACCTAATAGTAAAATACTCTCTGAAAAACATGTTGAATATAACACCAGTTCCAAGTCATTAGCACACTTGACAACAGTGACAAGGGTTCAAATCTCAGCAGGGACGTCTGTGTTCAGAAAAGTGAACAAAATTCCATTCCAAGTTTTAACAAAGCCTTCCATAGTTAATTATGTAACACAAAAAAACAATAAAAACATGATTAATTAATATCAAATTATTTATTAGCATTAGCATTCGTTCTTAATAATGACAGTCACACTAAAGCTGTTGGAAAACTAAAAGTCTCATCAGCGTAGTTGACGAATGCCCAGTGGGAAATGATTGGAAGCAAAGCATAGCCATGAGGAAGGAAGGAAGGACAGACAGTAGCTAGATCCAAATGGGGAAGGTGGAGGGTTTTTCCTGTAAGTGGGACGGAAGTTCAAAAGAAAAGCAGAAAGGTGGAGGGGGTCATATTATGTACAGAGTTCAGAGTTCAAGAATATTGGTCTTCAATACTTCTGGAAGGGGGTGGGGGGAGGGAGGGGGAGAAGGATGATTGGGTAAATAATCAAGATTTTGAACTTGAAGAAAAGGGGCTGCATATATTGATATCTACTATTTAGATACTGCTGACAAGAGCAAGGAGAAGAAGAGGTCCATTAAGGGAGTTGTAGGGACCGACAACTTGTTAATTGTCTCCACATTGCTACCAAGTCTAGGAAGAAACACCATGGGTCCCTATGCCTCTTTGATCTCAATACAGAATGTTTGCTCGAGACAAACAGAAGCATACCAACACAACAAAATGAGCAGTATTATATTGCTTAGAAAAAGGCGAAAAGACAACATATATAAAGAGAAATCCAGAGCAACTGGAAAGAAGAATTAGAGGTAACATTTGATTAGAGCCTTCCAAACCTCCACATAAAATAAGCATTACTGTGCACTAAGCAAACCAGATGAGCAAGGTGTATGTAAATTATAATTATATGTATATTGTAATATATACAGGTATACTGTAATATATATACAGGTGGCAGATGGTGTGAAAGTGTGCATGTAATGTAAGTATCAGATGATTGACAGAGGCGAGAGATGTGTTGGGTATCCGGAGAGAGATGAATTTGTTCTGTAGTACAGGTGATGTAAAAACAAATACTTTTATTTATAAATCAATACATCATCAGCAAGACAACCTTTGCTACATGTTAAGTAATGCCATCAATGCTGAAACAAATGCACAAAAGATAGGATATCTTTGTGCATACAATGGATTGTTCTGAAATGCTGAAAAGGGCACATTGAATTCATAGGGAGTGGAGGGAGGAGAAGAAGAAACTTGCACAACTGTTCGAAATTATGAGAAAGTTTTCCACTTCCATTACCAGTACTCTTGGATATGAAAAACAAAAAATCTGCTTTACAGTTTCGAAATCAACATCTCAGTCAAGATGGCTTGAAATGGGGGCCTCAAAAATTTTTTTCAAGTTACAATGCGCCCCTCCCCAAGCTTACTTCAGAATGAGTCACACCCTTTTTGTATGTACAGATTAGATTATGCAAGAGATAGTGTCCCTCACGCACACAGTGAGAAAACAGTTGTTTCGCATTTGAAAGTACGATAACTGAAGCGAGTCACAAAATCATGAATGGAGGAGCCCTCCTCACTAAGATAAAAAAGTAATCAAACATTTTATGACTGAGTAATTATCGTGTCACGAAAAGAAAAATTTGTCACCAAGTGTTTTGGCTAGTCCACGACCACAACCGTCCACGATGTATGCATGACACAAGCACACACTTCTAAACATTACCTGACAGAAGCAGAAGTACTAACTATTCACTGGTTATACATTTTAGGCTTCCAATTGCCAAGAGACGATTGAGTTCTAAAAATACACGTGGAGCAAGACAAGAAAAGACAAACGAAACAAGTTCTTACTTGTAAAAAAACAACAGCCCCAAAACATCTACAAGGCTTACCTTGATGTGATCTCAAGAAAAAACAACAACCTAAAATATGGCAATGATGTTCGTTTGTTTGAGTGAAGAGAAGCATGTAAACACAATAAAAGTCATTTAGTGCAGGGTAAGAGAGTAAGACAAATAGACAGAATCAACAGAGAAAGAAAAGAGATAGGACCTACTGGTGGTGCCCCCCCCCCACCCCCATATATATATATATAAAAAGGAAAGGATAACACAACCAACAATGTCTGAAAATTGGAAACGCCTCTAAGGAGAAGAAGCACATAGTCCAATCACAAAGTCTAACTATTCAATACACATACATAATATCTGTACACATTATTCATTCAAAAATTGAACACACCTTAATTTACAAACGTGTGCAATTTCACAGACATCAACTCAACTACACAAATCCTAAATCCTTTATTCTCTCTCTCTCTCTCTCTCTTTTAAACAAAGGTTCAGACAACTGCAGAAGAGCTGGTTCATCACTTGGTCTGTTGGCTGATTTTATAATTTTTATAATAAATGTTTTATTCACATCCCGCATACTCAAAGTAGATCATTCAGGAGGTGGGCTGCTTCAACCCTGCCTGTCAGTGACAACCTGGGCTGAGTAGGACAGACTTAGATATTCGGTAAAAAACCCAACAACAACCAAAAAATATCCCCACTCAGGAATTGAAAGCGCAACTTTCGTAAGCAACAACAATGAGCCTAAACCGCTAATACACCACAGATGCTGTTGTTCTATTGGCTGAGCACATGGACACAAAATTGGTACTCGATTAGGTCAAGCAAATGTAAGACAGACTGAAAAAAGTTTTGAATTAGTCTGGGTTTAATGAGTGTATATAAAAAAGAAACACAATAACCTAATACTAATCATTTCAAGTTGTAAATAGGCAAGGGAGGGAGAGAGAGAGAGGGAGAGAGAGGGAAAGAGGGAGAGAGGGAGAGAGAGAGAGAGAGAGAGAGAGAGAGAGAGAGAGAGTGGAGACAAAGAAAGACACATAAGTTGAAATAAAGAGGAAAGAAGGCAAGTGAAACTGAGAAAAAAATAAAAGTAGATATACCTGTACCTCATATGACAGCACCAGCCAAACATTTTTATCCTCACAGGAGGACAAACAAACCACTTTCAATAAGAGCCAATAATTCACAAGGAACCATTGATAGAAAGCCCAGAAAAAACTGATGTCAATCTTGAAGATTAAACTCTCATTCAACCTTCTTTGCTTTGGAAAAACCCCCAAGTACAAACACTTTGAAAAACAAAATATCAAAAGCTGATGAAACCAACACTAAATCAAAGACAAATGGGCCCTTATGAACTGTTTTATGACAGCATCATATTGTCACAGTCGCAAAAAAACAAAACAAAATTTAACAAAAAAACCTTCTAATTTTCAAAATTCACCCAAGGTAAAGCAGGATCAAATGAAGTTATTCAATTTTCTTGCGACAGCGACGACACGCTTTTTGCTCCGCCGATGTATTCCCCGTATGTATAAGTACACAATAACACAATGCGCCAAGAGTGGAACATTTCACAAGGTGTGTATGGCTTACGGGTCAAGACACAAAGGAACAGATCACGATGACATATTCATGGGAAGGGGGGCTCCTCAAAACGCAGATGTAGTAGTAGTAGCAGTAGTAGGTGTCGGCCGAAATGTACATGGTGCACACAAAATAAGAGGGTACAAAGTGTGCTTATAACTAATGTGCCTGAGCAGATGCAAGTATACATGCACCAACATAAGCAATTCAACCAAAAAAAACCAACAACTTATTATGTCTATTATGTCGTTGTAGTGAGTAACACCTTCATAAGCCAAGCCAACCTACCGCTGGGTGGATAAAACACCAACAGTATATAGGTCTGTAAAATGAGATAATAGAAATAGTAAACTAGAGAAAAGTCGACACAGCATGACTGCGTGAGAAACATCTTCAACCAGACGTCCAGTCTCGGCAGAAAGCGTACGTTGTTGCCTCTTTGCAACAGGTGGGGAAGGGGGTGGCTGAGTGGGGGAGAATCATGTCACCGTGCATTCTGTCCCAAATAAGACATAACAGTACCGGTAAGACAAGTCGACACAAACGACTGGATGGAGGGTAAAACATCTGCCCAAGACCCACAGGCTGACACGAAGCAACACACGGGAACTTGCTCATGGACAGACAGGAGGAGTTGGGAAGAGAGTGGGGGTGGGGGTGGGGGAGGTTTGTGGTTCTGTGAGGGGCGGGCGGCATCCGAAGACACATCCATCAGGCCTGGAGGACTCAGGACTTGGACATCTTCTTGATGCGATCTAACCGGGCCCTCAGGACGCTGACGTCCACCGACTGTCTGGGCTCCTCCTCTTGTCTCGATTCTGCCACCCGGTCCTGAATCTCCTGGTGAGGGGGGGGGGCACACACACATTGTATCATTAACATATCAATAAAGTTAACGGTCAGATTACAATGGTAAAATGAAATATTAAAGTTAACAATAAGATTAAAAAGGTAAAGTGAAGTGTTAGGAGGGAAGTGGGGGTGAAATTGTATTGTTATAAAACATCTAAATGAATTTAATAGAAATAGTTCGAGTGTCTCAGAAAGTGCATTTGTTTCTTTCTAATGGTTTTATCAGCCAGTGGCCCAAACGGGCTTCTTCAAGACTACCTCATTTGATTTCTGACCGTGAAAGAAATTTGACTGTATACAGGAAATAATTAAGAATTATGGCAAAATTTCAACAACTCAAGCATTTATGCTATTGAGGAAAGCATCAGAGGGCAATGGGCGGTAGATGGTTTGTTCCCGTGGCTATGGACATATGTGAGGCATCATGGTGAAATCAGGCGCTCCTCAAAATAATGAAATCGAAGATACTGGCATTATTCTGCTAGTTTCGCAATTTTTATTAATTTTTCGTTTTCAGCTCAACAGCTTTTATGTCTGTTTAAAAACATTTCTTCGTGGATTTTCCTGAAATCGTTTATTTAAGGCACAAAAAATGTAAATGTTCAGTTTACAAGGACTCTCACCCTATAGAAACCACCAAACTTTGGCAGCCATTTTCTTGCTTTTTTTGCCCCTGAAACCAGGTGACCTCACTTCCTTAAATGGCAATTATTTCCACTTCTATTCAAGATAGTTGAACATTTTTTGCATAGAAAGATAGACAGATGAACAAGCTTTAAGATGACGTATAACTCCACAAGTAAAAAAATTGACCAGCACCAGACTCCACCGCGTCGCTACACAGATAGGAAAATACTCACGGTCTCTGGGGTCTCTGCTCCATCAGATGTCTCAGGCACCAAGGCCGACGTCTTAGAGCCGGATGTCCTGTTACTGTCACTGGTCTGTCCCTGCAGACAAAGGGGGAAAAGGCTTTGTTTGGTTTGAGTACAGAGAAACACATCGATACGGTATCTGTTGTTTAGAGTAGGGGAAGAAGCACAGCGACACAGTATTGTCATTTAGACTAGGAGAAAAAAAGAGACAGAAACTATAGAAGGAGAAAAATTAAGAAAGATCTGCCAGTGACGCTCTCAAAACTCCCCCCCCTGAAGAAAAAGTAGGGATGGGGGTATTCTCAAAACAAGGCCTTTGGTGGGACTTCATCAACATTTTTCATGAATAACAAGATCTCTACAAATACGGTTTGAACTTCGCAGTCATCAAAGAAGGACTTTTGCACCATCAGTATTCCGTCAGCTGCAAGTTCCATAAAGAAAAGAAAGTTTATTTTTTTGGGTCACCACGTAAGTATTTTTGTTAACACCAAGTACCGTACCTCTCCAGAGTTGTTGTCCAGGCCGCATTTTGCTCGGAGTTCCCGGAGTTTTTCCCTGTAGAAGTCGACATCAAAATTCTCGGCCTCGGACGTTACATTGGCCGAGTCGTCACTGATGGAATTGTGAGAGTAGTTACCTGTGCAGGACAAGAGAGGAAGGTTAGTGTATTGTGTGAGCAAAGATGAGTACATTCACACCATGACAGGCGTTTAGTTTGTTTGTTTGAGTAACAAGAAGCACATCAGAACAATCTCTGTGATCAAGTGCTGGGATAAAAGACAGACAGACAGACAGACAAATAGAAACAACATAAAGAAAGAAAAGGTGCCCTCCAAACATCTGCTTGTCTAGCTTCTTAGTAAGGAGAAGCACTTTGACAAAATAATATCATTTAGTCAATAAGTAAAGAGAAGGACACTGACACCGTAACCTTCATTTTGTTTTGGAATAAAGAGCAGCACATCCACACAATATCTTCCTTAGTTTAGGAGTAAAGACAAGCACATGAGCACAATAACTTTTTTTAGTTTTTGAGAAAAGAGAGGCATATGGACACAAAATAATCGTTCAGATTCTGGGTTCACACAAGCACATCCTTACACAATGACAGCCATTTAGAGCAGGGAAAAGACAAGACAAATAGAAACAATTGAAAGAAAAAAACCAAGCAGGACCTAAAGTGCCTTCCAACCACTAATTTTTATATCATTCCTCTTCACTTTCATTTAGTTTTTAGAGTACAGAAGGGAACATGTACAACAAAGCCCACGATGAGCTCTCAGGACTTACCAGTAGCTTTGGAGCCTCGTCTCTCCTCCTCAATCTCAGCCAGCATGTTACTGATGTATTTCTGGAAACTCGGAGCAGTTTTCTTCAGGAACGGATTCATGTCTGCCTCAGGGAATTTCTTTTTGAAGTCAAACAAGTCGTTCAAACCCTGGATTTGATACAAAGTCATCTTTTTGAGGAGAACGACAATACAGTGGTTGTGTACACTAAAACATTGTGAGGGGAAAAAGGTTGGGACCAACAACTTTACCTCAGAATTGCTGCAATTTGATTCCCAACATGACTGCATATGTTTCTATCCTTCATCCCACACAATTTAGATCATTTAAGAGGTGGCCTGCTTTGACCCAACTTTAGTTTTAGCACGAGTTTTACAGCACTTGCAACACAATTAGGCCATGTGCGTGTTGAAGATTAGAGGTGTTACAAGAGAGTAATAAAAACAAAATAGAAGGAAGAGAGATAAAGACGATGGATGTTTGAAAGGAAAGAAGGAGCAAACCACACCAGAGCACCCGCCAATCACCCACTCAGCAACTTTTATGGGTACATACGATGTAATCTACATGACTTGGCTAACTTCCGTTCAAATATGGCAGATCCATTTATAACAAGGTACATGTCAGTTTTTCATGTTTCAGCGAATTTGGGACTTTAGTCAAGTCATATCAAAGTATAGACCTCCAACAAAAAGTATACACTAGGCAGAATACAACGAAAGGCGAAGAATAACATTACTCAAATGAACACCCCCCCCAACAAAATCCAGCAATGAAAAGAAAACCTTCAATTAATTTCAATTCCGCACATTTTATAACAAAACAGATGACAGTGCAAAACATACCTCATTGATGACACTAGATGCAAATTTGCATTTGAAACTGCCAAACTTTTTCAAAAGTTCCTTCCAGCCAAAGACACACACAAGGCATAGCAGTGACTTACCTCTCGCGTGTTCTCTTTGGTCCCAATTTTTTTGAAAATCTCTGTGAGTAGCTCATGAGTCTTGGATACTCGCTTGTTCTTTGGCGGAATCTGAAATAGATTGAAAGAGTTGTAGTCGAATGGTGATGTCGCCTCTATAACGGCCATATTTCCTCAAGATAATGGCCAGATTTCATGACAATAATGACATTTTGTCACAATGATGACCAAATTTTAGCACGATAATGGCCATACTCTGCATTTATATTGGACATTTTTTATCAGAACTAATCAGAGTAAAAACACACAAAAAATACCTCAACAAAAAATTAACCCAAAGAGATAAGCACTCAAAAAGAATAGACACCTATTCTGATACACAGAACTAGCACACAGAAACAAACATATACACACACAGATAAACATTACACACACACATTTACCTACTCATACATATATACACACACTTACAGAAGACACACATACACAGCAACACCCCCCCCCTCCCCCTTACAAAAAGACCTAAAGCCTCACACATACACACAGACCTACTCACACACACTAATACAGATGCACATCCCAACAATAAGACAGTTACATATGTACACACATCTACTCACACACCTACAAAAACATACAGTGCTATGAAAGGACACACATACAGTGGAACTCGGATTTAACGAGAACTCGGATTCAATGAGATGAGATAGATTCCCCGTTTTTGTCTTCTTTAAAATCAATAAAAATAACCCGGATTCAACGAGCACTTAAAATAGCGAGCTCGCATTCAACAAGGTCACTTCCAGGGTCAACTGCCCCCACAGACGTGGCTTCGCTCATCTTCTCCCAGAACGAACTTTATCTATTCCCAGAAACCATCCATTGCAACTGCATCGTGAACCATTATTCACATAGCCAATTGCATGTGACCAATCAGCGGCCTTTTTTTCCATACCAATATATGCGTTGTTGGCTCGCGCACATGTCTACTCTGGCGTGTATCGGAGTCGAATGGGCGGCCTGCACACATGTGACTGTGTGTGTGTGTCGGGGAGGGAGGGGCGCACTAGCGATCCGGGCGTTGAACGTCGCAGATACAAACGCGTCAGTCTTTTTTCCCCCTCGGCAACTGATCATTATTACAATGATAAACTAGTCTTGACGTAGATCTTCGTAATGAATTGTGCGCTTGTCTATGAAATCAAAAGTTGCCGTTATGCTAGGATCTACACAGCAACACAACTTTGTGGTAAACAATCGAGATGACACAGGAATGCATTTGAACGAATCGCTCTTTTTTTTTTTACTCAGCTCATAATATGCCGGCATTTCAGGCACTATTTGTGACTTCTCTTTATACATTACTTGCTCAGTGCCTGTAATTATCTACACAAAACCTCATGTTTGCTATAATGAACACTTGGATTCAACGAGATTTTAGGTCAGGCCCAGCGACCTCGTTGAATCCGAGTTCCACTGTATACATACACCCCTAGAAAAGACAGATTCAAGCCTTACAGACATATACACAGACTTGTATAACATACAAAAAGTTCACACACACACACGTCTCAAAAAAAGATGAAGCCTCACACACAGCCACATCAACCCACACACATCCCTATAAAAAGACAAAGCTTCACACACATATCCTAACACATAAATACATACACTCACACAAAACAACACATAAATACATACACTCACACAAAACAACACACACACACACACCTACCTACCTACAAAAAGACAGCATCACACAGAAAAATACACACATCTACTCACATACATGTACACACACTCACTTCCACACTTACACATACAGATCATACACACACCCACCCCCATATATACAGGACATACATACACTCACTCCCACACATACTGAACATACAACCACACATCCCTTTAAAGAAAAAAAAAAGTCGAACCTTGGATTTGTCAGCACTTCCTTCGTCTGTCTTGCTCTTGGCCAGCACTGTGTGTAGATATCCTTCCACCTCTGACTCCTCCGAGGCTGAGATGAGCCCTGTGTGGCTCAAAATCTGAACAACAAGACACAGCAAAGTTTTTAAAGAAAAATTAAAGAGTAAAGATAAAAAGGTACACACTGAGATAAAACTTTAATAACATCCCCCCCCTCTAGATGCAGGAACATACCCCCCCCCCCCCCCCAAACAATCAACAACCCTCCTCTCCCTCAGATGCAGGTACATTAAAAAAACAATCAACAACAACCCGCCCCCCCAAAAAAAAACCCCCCAACCAAACAAAAACAACACACCCTAAATGCTATGCCCTGACCAGCCAACCAGATAGTTTACTCTCAATGTGATCAGATCTCTTAAAGTAAAAGTTTCACGGCACTTGCAACTCGATGTGATCCTCCTAGCCATGTTGCAAAATGCTCCAGAAATTAAACCGGGTGTCCCTCCTTGAGTCAGGTCAGATCAAGCAGCTGTATCTTCATGCTGGGAGCCTAGGCCGGGCAAATACACACACTGACACACAAACTCAAGCACAAATAGAGAGGCACACACACAAACAACAAACAGACACATACTCACTTCCTCGAAAACACTTACACACACACACACACCCAAACTTTGTATCTCTTTTTTTTTCATCGCCCAGTGCCACTTTAAAAAAACAACAACCACCCCATCCCCATACACACACACCAAAAAAACTAACCCCTCCACCCAAACAAAAACCCCCAAACCAACCAAACAAAACCCCAACCTTGTGTCCCTTGAGTTTGGTGAGGTTATGCAGCAGCGTCTTCACTGTGCGGATGGGCAGGTCAAGGTTGGGTCGTGTCCGCCAGCTGGAGGACGGGAACTGCTGGAAGAACAGGTGAGACTCATACAGCAGCCTGTCGCAGTTCAGCTCCTCGATCGTCGCCGGGATCAGGTTCATGTTCTTCCACAGGCACTGAAATGGACAGGAAACAAAATGATTTGTTTTGTAGGTTTTCCCCCTTCTCATTTGATAACCCATTTTACGGTAATATCAACACAATTTGGTCATCGTACACAGATAAAATGGCACAGATGAATTGTTGTTAAAAAAACAGGAAAAAAAATGATCTAGTGCAGGGACAAAACAAGACAGACAGAGTTAGTTTTAGTAAAGGTTTTACGGCACTCGCAACTGCATAAGGTCATATGACAGACAAAAGGAAAAGAGGGGAGAAAAGAAGTAGTACATGTCAGTGATGCCCTCTTACCATCAGCATGGTTGCCACTAATACCACCCCCCCCACCAAAAAAACCCCAAACCCATCCCCAAAACTGGTAAACTTCAGCCTCCTCCCCAATAACATAAGATAAAAGATATTTCCTTCTGAGACAACACAGGAAAGTAGCCATACACAACACCGATAGAGGCTATAGATTATATTGTTACCTTGATGACCAGTTCTAGGAACTTTTTAGAGCACGTGTCACTCTTGAGACACTCTCGCATGAGGGCGATGTTCGCACTGAGGATGGGACAAGCAGACCGCAGGTTACACTACATCAAAGAAGATAAGATAAATGTTTATTTGTTAGGTTACATTAATGACACAATTTGATCCACAAGTAAAGGTCATTCATCCCCTTTTTGAGGAACTTGACAGCCTATTTTTCATAATCATCGGCAGCAGCTGCAGCAACAAGGTCTTCACATCTTCATTATCACCACTATCACCATGTTTTGCTTTGTTTCTTGCGTCAAGAGAAGCGCATCGACCCAACAAGGGTGATTTAGTGCATTGAAAAGCAAAAAAGACAGATAGAAACAACAGGGCAAAACAAGAAGTTGGACCTACCAGTGCTGCCCCATTTACAGCATGCTTTCACCATCACCATTAGCATCAAAAGCACCTTCATATCACTTTCATTATCATCACTCGTGCCATCACATCAGGGCAGCCCACCCATCAGCACGTTTTAGTAATCAACAAATGAAAATTTAGCAATCTGGCTTTTAAAAAAATTAATAATATGGCCATGGATAGTCTTTTCCCCTGGGTTGTCAAGGACAGGGTTGTAGGTTTAAGGATGAATGTGACGTAACCAAAGGTCTGATGAAAAAGGTCTTGGAAGGATGAAGTTATTGGGCTGTTATTGTAGCCATATATGCTTCTCTCTACTTTAACAAACATTGCAGCTGGGGACTAACCAGGTGATGTTGGTGGGATCCGACTTGTTGATAATCTTGACCACTGTCAGGTTGACTGACTTGATGATCTGGGAGCCGTCTTGGAGTTGGTCAATGTGCGGGTCCAGGAGAACGGTCAGCAAACTCTGAATCAGGTCCATTAGGATGTGAGTGGATGCTTTTTTACCCAGGCTTGTCTTGTTGAATATCTGGAAATAAGGGACAAATTTTTTTTTTAATGAAGAAAAAAAAAAAAAAAAAAAAAAAAAAAGGAACAATGACTTTGGTTCTTTTTACAAAACTCAAATCGCACTCATGTTTATAGCAGAAGCCTCCTACACAAGTCTGATAAGAACAGCCCCGCTGTATGTCTCTTCAGCTGCTGAAACTGTAAATTCTAAAGAATAGATTTGTTAGGATGTTAAAAGGTATAAGAAAGGATATGGTACAAGATAAGATACGATACGGTAGCTTGGCACGTGTGTATAGTGCAAGGCTGTACTGACACAATAATTCTCATTAAATTCTGAAAACAAGTAAGAAGGAAAGACGGAAACAACTGAGGGAAAGAAAATCACCCGCAGGGACAGATTTCTCAGCTCTGAGAGCAGCAAGAGCAGGGCGCTCGTCGGAGGTGCTGGACCTGCAGGCATATTTAGAAGTCTTGTCATTGGCGCGTTAAAGGTCCGTTCAAAGATGACTGACCGAGTGCCCACCCATAGAGACAGGCACATACTGTCACAACAAAGTTCTGTTTGTCAGGTAACGACACAAACACACACTCTAGTCCTAATGATTACACCTTGAGACAGAACTGATAATTAAACAGCACAGTGCTCACTCTGTGGAAATCTGCCAGGCAGGTACAGAGTCCATCTCCTTAACACCATGGAGCCCTTTTAAGCTACTTGAGGTCTCTCCAATAGGAACCCCCCCCCCCATACTTTAAGTGGATGACAAACTACCACTACAGCTGAACTGACATTTTAACTGGACAACAAACTAACATTTCCATCTGATTGAAAAACCAGTCAACGAAACAACTTTAGAACTGGACAACAAACTATCTGTCCAACAGGACGTCAAGCCACCTTTAAAACAGAATGGCACACACATATCTTTCCAACAGGATAAAAAACAACCTTTAGAACAAGACAATACACCACCTTTAGAACAGGATGACAAACTATCTTTAGAACAGGACAACAAACCATCTTTCCAACAGGATGATAATCCATCTTTAGATCAGGACAACAAACCATCTTTCCAACAGGATAATAAACCATCTTTAGATCAGGATGACAAACCATCTTTCCAACAGGATTAAAAAAAACCCCGACCTGCCTTTAGAACAGGATGACAAACTACCTTTAAAACAGGATGACAAACCACCTGTAGAAGACTACAACACTTACGCTGATGAGAGTGCTGAGCAGACAGCGGTATAGACAGACCACCTGGTGCCGGTCCACTGAGGGGTCCTGTACGTGCATGCTGATGCCCAGCCTGTTCTGCATGGTGATGACCACAAGGAGTTTGTCCACGTGGTCGGCCAGCGCATCAACTTTCTGCGGGTCCTTCATCACCTCGTCAATCTGGGAAGTTAAGTTTTAGTAAGAGTTCCACGGCACTTTTAGTAAGAGTTCCACGGCACTTGCAACACAATAAGGTCATGTAATTGTCGAAAAATAGATGTGTTACAAGACAGTAACATACACAAAAAAGAGGCAGGAGAGGTATGGACGATAGATGTTTGATAGGAAAGAAGGAGCAAACCACACCAGAGGAACCTCCAACCACCCGCAATCTGGGAAGGAAGCGGTTTATTTGTTCGAATTAATAGAGGCACGTTGAAATAATAAATACTCGAGCATGAATAAAAAGAAGCACGTCAACAAAATGCTAGTTGTTTAGTGTTGGGACAAGCTTGCAAGATAGACAGAATCAACAGGGGGGAACATTTCATTTTAGAGGAAAAGCCAAGGAAAATCAATTCGGGGTCGTCAGACCTGCCACTCTAAGAACTAAAAAAAAACAGGACCTCAAGGGAAAAAAATCAGGATTTGGTGAAAACAAAATAGGGATCAACGACAAATCACAAAGGTGACTGCCAAGCTAACTAAAAATGTTACCAGGAGTTTCCATAAATATATCCATTTATATACATGTTCATGCCCTGTGTGTGTGTGTGTGTGTGTGTGTGTGTGTGTGTGTGTGTGTGTGTGTGTGTGTGCATGTATGTCTGTATGTGGGTTCATAGTCCATTGCAAAGATTCAAAGACACTAAACTTTACTTTTATTTTTTAAAATTTATTTTTTCCTCCTTTGTCCCTAGAAGCGTAACCCCAGAGGACAAGAGACATCACTTAGGATAAAATGTCGGCGTTTTTACACCACCATTGACACAAATTAGACTATCAAACTCACGCTGAGAGGGGATAAAACATCCCAGCAGAAAGTCTTTCCCCCCCCCCCTTTTTTTTGGGTAAGTGTTTTATGGCGCTCGCAACTGCAAAAGGTCATATGGCAGAAAGTCTGAGCAGTCAAGATACCTGAGCCAGCGCCTTGACACAGGTGTTGATGTCCACGGACGAGATCTGTACCACGACTGAGCTGATGCTGGAGGACACGTCCGTAGAACTGACCAGCTTGGCTGACATAGGGGACGCTGGACGGGCCCTGAGTGGGTAGTAGTAACAATCACAATAATAATGGTGATGTTATCAATAATAATAATAAGAGATAAAAAAAAGCAGAAGAACAACAACATTTCTTGGTGTAGCAGATAAGCGCAACAGAGAAATTATTACACACTCTATTGTTCCCTAAACCCATCGGCCACATACATGTACAAACACAACAACAACAATCACAATGTACAATGATAATAATGAAATAATAACAATAACAAAGCTAATAGCAAAAGCAATCAAAATGATAAAAATAATAATAATAATAATAATAATATGTCAGAGATGACATCTCATGGTATTTCAGGCAAACCCTACAAAACAATCCTCATTTTTTTCTATAGACAACTAAAACAATTTGCCTTTTTCTCAAACCTGCTGGACAGTTGATCCCGATAACCCCACCTTGCTGATCAGTCATACTTCCTTAAGAGTTAGAAGAATCAGGTAAAAAGTGGCTCTAAGCAACTTACATAGGGCAAAATAAAAATAAAAATCTCCATATAACCTACGGATTGACAGCTCAGTAAGACTCTATAATATGCAATTTTGAAAAGTGACATAATATGATGGAGCGGCCCACTGAGCAGTCTTGGTGTTCTGGGTAAGGGACTTGAGAATAATCAAAAGAGCCAGAAGCACACTGAAGCAGGATAACCGGACCCAAGATGTCAGTTCCAACACCAAATCATCAGATCTTCTGAACATCCAAAAGCTTACCCAAAAGTCAGTTTGTCCGCTGAAATAAACACAGGTCAGTCGGTTTGTTTGTCAGTCACCTGAAGATCAGTTCTGTCTGTCTGTCTGAACAGGCAAAAGGTCAGTCGCTACTCACATGAGCTTGGGCTTTGTGATGGGAGCCATGACGGAGTCCAGATCTAGCTCTATGAGGCTGGGGTACACGGGCTCCCAGTCATCTATCTCAATGTCCAGCTGGTATGCCTTGTTGACCGGTGGACGACTGCCCATGTTGGGTCTGAAAGAAGGAGAATGATGTTGAAGCAATTTATCTGAATCAAGTCTACCCTCTATCTATCACAGAAGCACCACACTGAGTAAATTTGAATACATAAATGTCAGTTTTATAGCCTCGAACATCCATTAGGTATTTTTCTTCCATTTTTAAAGAAAAAGGGTTAGTTCAAATCATGTTTCCACTATCAATGCTTATTAGAAACAAATCCAATCATGAACCCAGTACCCTAAGAATGGATCTTGAGGCCAAACAAAATCCCATAACTTTTTAGAGGGAGTTGAATATCTAATTTCATCTTGCTAACATACAATTGCCGTTTGAAACAGAATAAGTTAACTGTAAACACCAACACAAAGAGAGTCATTGGCAAAGTTAGTACCGGGTGGGTTAATTGTTTATGAGGCTGAGTGAGTTTTTGTACATTTTGGTGCAAAGTTAGCAAATTGTGAATTTGACATTCAGAGAATTGGTTGATAACGTTGGTATGGAGTAAAATGTTAACATTGCTTTTGAGTGAGTTAATTGTGCATGACTGTGTTGAGTGAGTCAGTTGATTAATTTGGTATAGACAGAACTATTTGTCAATGTTGGTACTTAGTAAGTCCATTGTGAATGTGGATTTATAGAGTAGGTTCAACGCCCCAATCAACAATATAGGGTTATTTAAGAGCCGAGACCTTTGAATTTAATGTTCACCTCCGGAAGGACAGAGCCAAATAGGAAATTGGTGTCAAGTGCCTTTCCCAGGGACACAACGTTGGACCGAGCTAAGGCACGAACCATGAACCCGTAATCTCTCGACTAAATAGTGTTGAGTGAGTTGATAACGTTGGTACTGAGTGAGTAAATACCAAATGTTGGTAATAAAGGAGGAGGAGCAACCCTTAAACCCTTACTGTGATGCAGCTTTGGCCATGGGCCCACCGCCCGGTGTGGTCTTTGGCCGCTGCTGTTGTTGCTGCGGCGGGGGCTGGGCCTGCACTGGCTCCTTTGCAGCTGGCTTCATCTCACGGTTCTTCATCGCTCGTTTGATCCTCTCATCCAGCAGACTCTGGTCTTTGTCATTCAACTGGGAAGAGAAGGAGATAGAAAGAAAGATCACCAACAGAACGTGCAAATATCTTCCTATCTCTCAGAGATATTTTAACCGAAATTTCTTGAGAAATTGAAAGATGCTTCCCGACCGAAAATCGGCTTAAAAAAATCTGACACATTTAACATAAATTTCTTTAGACTCTATAAGGAAAAAATAAGCTGAACACAAAGCTGAAAAAAAGAGCCCAAGACACTCACATGGCCAATATATTTGTAAACAGTCTCTCCAAGGATTGTGTAAGCCACCACGATCGTGTTCAGGGCAGCATTCCTCACGGCATTGTCCCGATCCCCGATCTGTGCAGCAATGATTTTCAGTGCATGAGCCGGTGACGGCTGGCACACGTTCATGCCATAGCTATCGATGAGACAGCCCAGTTCATCCAGCAGTTCTGGGAGGAGAAACAAGTCAGTTGTCGGTTCATGTAAAGTGAAACCCATCGATACAATTAGTCATTTGGGGCTGGGAATGAAAAAGTGCTCTGAAAAAGTTAGACAAACAGACAGATAGAAACAAGAGTAGAAAACAAAAGAATTGTGTAGGCCACCACGATCGTGTATAGGGCAGCATTCCTCACCAGACTTCCCCCTGATCACCTGTATGCTCTTTTTGTTCTCTCACAGTACATGCAACACAATTAGCAATACAAGCATACAAGCTGTTTTGTTTTACTAAGAGTTTTATGGGACTTGCAACAAAATTAAGTTATATAAGTACCAAAGATAGGACCTGTTACCAAAGAGAAAAACCCCCCCACCTAAAAAGAGGACAGATTAAGGACGATAGATGTTTCAAAGGAAACAAATAGCAAACCAGATCAGAGCTCCTGCCAACCTCCCACTCTCAAAGTATAAAATCCATCCAAGCACTACGATGTTCCACTTTAGATAAATAAATAAAATGTAATCTCCTGTAAATATAATAGCAAATGTTTTTAATTGTTAATGTCTTTAGACAGACACACCCCCCTCCCCCCAGAACCAAATAGCAACCCCCCCCCCCCCCCCCAAACAAAAAAAAAGTACTGACTCAATGATCACATGGAGGTAGAAAGAGAACTACACTATCACAGCAGCACAAAGCCCAGAATGTGATCCTCTCACTGGACCATGACCGTTACATGCCCCGGACTTGTGGTCAGCACATACCTGTCCTTTGTTTGGCCACTTTGCACTTGAGCCCGTCAATGAGGAAACTGAACATCTTACAAGCGGGTAAAACCTTGCATATCATTTTGAGGATGTTGCGAACATCCCTGCGCACGTTGTCTTTAGGGTCACCACTCTGAGAAGAAAAGCAGATGATGAGACATCATTTTGAAAGAGACCTTTTTTGTGTGGCTTCTTATGCAGCTGATGGTAAAAAAAAACCCAAAAAGCTCGCAGTATTTTATTGCAATTAACAATAGGATCCATGTCCGTTTCTCATCACAGCCTACTTACTTTTTTAACTTTTAAGGTCTAAGATTCTGTGAACTCTTCATCTTCGGAGAGGATAACCATTATGCCAGAGCCCTCTTTTGGTACAAAATCTGAGAGTGACATATGGTCGCTTTCAAGAACAAGCCGGCTAACCAAGATTTTGGGGGTTTCCAGATATTTTGACCTACACCAAAAGTGAGCATTGCCCTACCTATAGGACAAGTTTGGTTTCATTAGTGTGCATATTTGTTTGGTTATAGAGAAAACTCTCCTTGTCTTTTGAAGAAACTGAACAAGGGGCAAAACCTTACCTTCGATTTTCTCAAAACTGCATTTTTGGGATAGCCCCCTTGTGCTTAAAAGCGACCATATATGGCACTTAAATCATAACAAATGAACTTATTTTCAAAAGCTCTTCACTTAAATGAAAGAGCTTCCAGTAAGAACTTCCAGTAACAAAGAACTATTTTCTTCAAATGCAGAAAATCAATATAACATTGCTGTCATAAAGAAATTTGACTGGGCCTCTGACAGTGGATTAAGGGCACAGTGGTTTTCACCACAAGCTGCTGGGAGCGGCATTCTGGTGATAAGGAGGTCACAAAACTTAGATTTATTTATTTTAGTAAGTGTTTTACTGCACTTGCAACACTATAAGGTCATTTAAGTGTCGAAGATTATAGGTGTTACAAAAGAGTAACAAATACAAAAAAGAATAAGGGGAGATAAGGATGAAGGAGCAAGCCACACCAAAGCACCTGCCAACCACCCACAGACAACTTAGACTATTTAAAACAACATCAAAAGGGCTACTAATAAAAAAGCAGAGACCCCCACCCACCTACATCGCCACCTCAGGGCTTTTTTGTCCTATCAACATTTTTTTTAACATTGAAAATGTGACTTCTTCTTTAAGCTCACTCTTTATCTAAACTGTTTTCACTGTTATTAAAAATTGAGATAGGACAAGAAAGCACTGAGGTCGCGACACGCTGAGACATTAAACCTGTATCGCACATTGGAAAAACCACCTACATCACACTACGCCCAACCTAAACCAACAACAAAGTTACCTTTAGAAGGAGATATGGAATAAAAGAATTCGCCTCCAAATCAGTCAGATGGTACTGGATGTCGGACAGCAGGGAGAACAGGCGCTGCAGATAGTCCAGGGCTTTGTTCAGCATGCTGGGATTGGTGTCGTAGAACCGAATGGTCACCCACTTCAGCAGCAAGTCCAGGTTGTTGATTGTCTCTTTCTCTTGAGTCTCAATGCACTAAAATAATGCAGAGTAGGAATGAAATTAGAAGGGACAGAAAATAGTGCCGGTGATAATAAATAAATAAGTCACCTCACAAAAGTGTAATATTACATTGGTTCAAGACCCCCCCCCCCCCCCCTTTCTTACAGGAGCCAAAGCCCCCCCCCCCCCCCCCCAGGTGTAAGATTATATTCAAACAGCCCCTAAACAAATGTGTCACGACGAGGTGAAATCAGGTGCTCGCCAGATTTTTGGGTGTGTGGAATTATTGGTATCACCTAAAAGCTTATTCATTTGCTGCTGTGCTTTCAATAAAATAAATGCCCATCTATCTCGATTAGAAGTCGAGATATTTGTGATTGAAGGAGGTGAGGTCATCTGGTTTCACTGATAAAATTAGCGAGAAAATGGTACCCAAATTTCAGTAACTTCAATAGCTTGCGAGACCCTCAAAACTGAAAAATTACATATTTTGTGCCTTTAATCAATGTTTTTTACGTCAAATTCACATAGAAATGTACTTTTGTATGGACATAAAAGTGTTGAGCCAAAAAAACAAAAATTAGATAAAAATTGCCAAACTGGCAGAAAAAAAAGCCTGTTTCTTTGATTTTATTATTTTGACGAGCGCCTGATTTCACCACGAAGCCTCACAAATATTTAATTAGATAGCTTAATAATAGATTTAAAGTCAAGGAAACCCTGAGAAATTGTAATATCTCAACTAAAAGAGCTGCAGAGCTGTCCTATCATAGTAAACTGCTTCTCCCCTCGACGTTTAATGACAACAGAAGATGAAAAAGTATAAGTAAAGTAAGTAATAATAGATCAAAAGCCTCAATACACTGAAACCAATCAGAAAAGAAGTGAAATTAGGCCGAAAAGATAAGTTTTTGTGCAGGTAAAAAAATGAAAGAGTAAAATAATAAATAGTAGTTAAATAGACAGATTCATAAACAAACACCACAAAAAAAAATGAAGTACAATACAGAAGGGAATCTCTGCACATAAAAAAAGGTAATTTAGTGCTGGGAAAGAGAATGACAGCGAGACAAAAATAACAGAGGGAGAGAATAAAAAGTGAGGCCTACAAGCAAGACAGCTATATTGTCCTAACACACATTAAAACAAATGGGTGGTTGTCTAAGACAGTTTTGACTGTACAGTCGAACCTGCCTTAACGGAAACCTGAATAAAACGGAAACCTGTCTTAACGGAATCCCCTCGCTCCCCCCTTGAAGTATTCCTCTTTAATTACCTGCATAAAACAGAAACCTGTCCAATGCGGAAACGGAAAGAAAAATCCACTCCCTTCCGAGGGTTTTACTTGTCTAAGACAGAAAATGCTTCGCCCACTCAGCCCTGATTTGAAACAAAACTCGCAAGTTTGGTTCCGCCGGCTCTAAACGTAACGTCATGGCCATGCCGCTGGGCGACAAAGGAAAGTAGGGGTGCAAATTGGGGGTAGATGTTACCCCATCATGTGAGCCCTGGGTGATGCAGATGGTCAGGGTAGTGTGGATGTGAAATCTCACGACTGCCCGTGAGAGTGCTTGAGTAGCGAGCCACTACTGAATCTTTCCTGGGTAGCTAGAAGCCAGAGGTGTGAAATTAAATTGACCAATGCCTGCCGCCCTGATTGTACAGCCAGCCGAGAAAAGAGTTCCTCGAATCGTTGTTACATGATGGCAGGCAGTGAGGGATGGCATTGGTTGACTGTGCTTGTTACACCAGTGGGTGGGGCTAAGGGTGGAAACAAAGGACAAGTTCAGACGTTTCTGTTTTTAATAGGTCAAACAGTGGTCCTATGAAAGCCAAGCACTGGTGGTATTTGGATAAGTAAGACTGACGCATGTCATTATCAGACAGGATAGCAATTGAGAGGTGTGAAGTTATGACTACTGCTTGCCAATCGGACAAGCGATCCTAGATCCCACCGACGGGGCCTTTGGACCCCCCCTCCATCTCCCCCTAAATTCCTGTCTAAGACGGAATCTTTTTCTGGCTCCTTTGCGATTCCGTCTTACACAGGTTCAATTGTACTTAGTTATCAAATGAGATAAAAGTGACTAAAGGCCAAGATAAAAGAAGGAACACACACTTTCATGACTGAAACTTCTCACCTTGATCAGCTGTTCGATGGCCTTGATGTGGCTCTTAAAGTCGGTATGAAAAAGATCAGCCATGACAGCACGGTTGAAATTTTTCTCCATCTGGTTGCGCAGCTGCTCCACATACTCCTGCTTTAGTTCTAAAAAGTTCCATTTCAGAATCTGAGAGGTGAAAAGAAAGGTGTTCGTTTCTTTGAGTAAAGAGAAGCACACTAAAACAACAACAGTCATTTGATGTTGAGACAAACAGAAATGATATTGGGAAAGAAAAGATATAGGTCCTCTAACTACCTTAAAAAGAGCGATGAGAGGGGAAGGGAGGGAGGAGGCGGAAGAGCATGTGTGTGGGCAGACAGGGTATATGTGTGTACATGTAAAGGGGCAGAGTGCATATAATTTTTAAACAGCTGGGAATGAGTGGGAAGGGGTTTGTATAATTTGTTAATGTTTCTAGGGCTATATTTTTTTCTCCTACTTATCATGTTCCTTGAGAAGCCCTATGGGCACAATGTTGGATGTTTTTTTGTTTATCAACTTTATCCTGGTCTTCACTTCTCTTCTACCATAATGATGAGGTTGGTGATGATGACAATGAAGACACTGTTTCATAAAATAAAATTTGTCTTTGTATTTTTTTTACCTTCATGGCCTTTTCCTCCTTTACTCTCTGTTCTTTCATCACAGTCATTGTCATTGTGGGGCCAAAGTCTTCCTCTTCCTTCTTTTTGCTGGACGATGGAGGGGCGGCCTGGCAGGGAAACAAAAACACTGCCGTCAATATAACCACTTCACTGCTGAGCTCGTAAAATTTAAGGGCCTCCACGGTGTTGCGCTGTGCCAATGGCCCGTAGAATTTACGGGACTGTGACAGAGGTTGTTTTGATAGCAATGATAAGGGAAGTTACAGCTAAAATCTTGTAATTATTGTTGAGGCACCTTCCCTTTATGTTTACCTCCATTTCCCCCCCATTTGAAAGAGTCAGATTCAGATTTTAGCTCAAAGAGAAATTAGATCTAGATCTAGATCTAACACATCTACTGCACAAAAATGATTTATTGGCAGTAAACACAGATGGACTTACATGTATATAGATCTATATATATGGATTGTGCAAGCGTTGTATAAGGTAGGAAAAGCCTCTTGTCACTTCCTATTTACCTGCAGACACTCACACAACATGTATTCCTCAATTTTTTGTCTCAGTTTATCATTACTTGAAAGCGTGTTGTTTATGTTGTTCGATGGTACTGTTTTTGGCATCATGTTACTAACTCCAACTTTTCGTCTTCTATCTCTCAACGAAATCCCCCTAAAATAATATCAATAGAAACCTGGTTCAAGGTTGAATGTATATGCAGAAATTCTTGAGGAAATATTCATAAACAAAAAAGTTATGGGAGGTAGAGTGGGGTCAACCCTGAGCTGCCTTGGTTAACCGGATTTCCCCCGGCACAAGGGCCTATTTACCAGCGGCACTGAAGAGGTTAAAAAGAAAAAATTTGATTAACACCCCCCTCCCCCACACACAAATAATGTCCAACTAGACATAAGGCAATTTTGAAGGCAGACCCAGAAATGTAAAATAAAAGGGTCCATCTTTTGCTCGTCAAGACACCCAGCCTTGTGGCCAAGTATTAGGTGAGTTTACACACGGATCAAACTCACATCTTTAGCATACAATGGTGAAGAACCTAACCACAGGCGCTAGTGGGTGAAAACAAACATACGGTTGGATGAAAGGAGTCGTACTGTACTGAGAGACAAGCATGACACCCCACGGAAATGAGTAGACATACATCCTTTATAAACAGGAAAGTCGTTTCATAGAAGCTCATAGACTCAGAAAGAGAGTGAGCAGACAAGTCTGAATATCTGAAATTAGGGGAGAACCCTTTCACTCGATTTAGCCATTTACTACCTCATAACAATCCCTTCCTCTTTCTTCCCATCTCTCTCTCTATCCCTTAGCCTCTCTCCTCTCCCCCCAGCCTTTCCATTCTATCCCCTCCTCTTTTCCCTTCATTCTGCGCCCCCCCCCCCCCCAACCTTTTTTCCATGTCTCACCTTGCCCTTAGCCTTCCCCTTGACAACCTTGGCCTTGCTTTCAGCTTTGGCCGGGGCAGCAGCCGTAGGCTCATCCTCCTCCTCGTAGTCTGCTGGTGGTGCAGCGGGGGCCGACTTGGGGGCTGAGGGCCGGGGTGCTGCAGGGCCACTGCTTGGAGCACTGGCCGCCTTCTTGGTCTTGACCGGTTTAGCCGGCAGCTCTCCGCGCGCTTTCTCCAACATTGGCTGGATCTGGTCCTTGCTCGACGGCTGGAAACAAGTACACACAAAGTGAGGAGTACACAATAAGTAAAAACGTCTGGCTAAATATAAATCTCTCTTTTTGGTTTTGTAAAATGTTTTACGGTGCTCGCAACTGCATAAGGTCATATGAGCGCGCGGGACACATCTAATATTTTCAGTTGGAAGGAAATTTTAAATTTTGCTCGGGTGGCGGCCGAAGCCTACTCTAATCGATTTTAGACCACCAAGGGATCTTTAATGTGCGCAACTTGCACACGGACCCTCTGAGATTTTTCGCCCTTGTCCGAGAAGGCTAGGTGTAGATCTTTCCTACCAGAAAATCAGGGGTATGGCAGAAAGACAGCAGTAAGGAGGAGCCAAGGAGTAGCAGTAGAAAGGCTGCAGAAAGAGTCAGGAGCCCAAAGGAGAGGGCAAAGGAGGTGAGGGGGTGGGGGCAGAAAGTGGAAATGAAAGCAGACAACAGAACATTGTTAGAGAGCAGGAAAGGACGTGAAAGGAGACAAATTTAGAGAAGGAAATTTTTCGGTCGCTACCCGGATTATAAATCTCTGATAAAGATGTAAATTTGTTTGAGTAAAGAGAAGCACATTTAGTCATTTAGTACTATGAAAAAGTAAGACAGACAAAAAGTTAAAAAACATGACCCTTTTTTGCTGATCTTTACACAGGCAAAGAGGGGAAAAAATTTGTATTTAGTGAAATTGATTCCATTTCTCGTTTACATCAAGGAACATTCACTTCTACAAAATATAACTAAAAATTTAGAATAATTTAAGGCCAGATGGTAGGGTAGACAGCCATATTAGTACCATGACCTACTGGTTCAAATTTGAAATGCAAACAAATAGTCACGTTGCACAAAAAATTATGAATTTGTTATGGTTCTTATGACTGTGGTATCTTACCTAAAAGTAATGCATATTGGGCAGTTATTGATTTTTTATACACATCACATATTTCACTGAGCACATTTGCCTATTTAACTTACTTTTGAGATTTCTATAAATAGAAATATAGAGCATTTCAATTATATTGCTAGAGGAGCCTCCCTTTGGCTTTCAGACATTGCAATTCGAGCTACAAAGATTAATCTATCCTCTGGGTCCATAAATGTATTCTACATAGGTGAATTCTTCGGTGTCCTTTTGATCTTTGTAGAAAAGAAAATAATTCAAGATGGAGGACAGATGAGAATGATTTAGGCAAAATGCAACACCCAATTATGTATGAAAAAAAAAGCAACATTTTTGGCAATTTCTTCCAGTGAAAGATCACTTGAGTGTATCTATTTTATCGTATTGGGCTAATGTGTTAGGTAACCTACCTTGCACTTGCCCAAAGCCTTAAGGAAAGCGTCGTATCCAGTGTGGATCATGAAGGGAACCAAAGCCTCTCCCGCCTTTTTGCGCACATCCGCGTTTCTGTCCTCCAGAGCGGCAAGCACAGAGGGAATGGTGGCCCTCAGCTCCACAGGCAGTTGTTTGTGAGAGGGCAGCTTCAGTGATAGCCAGCCCAATAGCTGTGAGACAGGAAAAAGTTGTTATTTTTCGTACAACAGAAGCACATCAAGGTAATAACGATCATTTAACACAAGGAGTTTGGAAAACGAGAAATACATTGACGCAATAAAGGTAATTTACTATATGGGCAAAGCACTTCTGACAGACAGATACAAAAGAGGGACAGGAAAAAAATCAGAACCTACCAGTGGAGTCATCCTACCAACTGTGAAATAAATAGGGAAAAAATGCCACTCTCTTTAGTTACGGTTTCATATCAAAGAAGAGGAGTACATCAGCTCTAGGACATATTCCACAGACCATCCATCTAGTATTTAATAGAGGAGACCAAAAAGAAATTTTTCAAAAATCACATGGACAGGAAAAACGCAGGAGCTTCTTCCTTATTAATTCTCAAGGAGGAAAACAGAAAAACTGCGGAGAAAAAAATCTTAAGACATTTACTTGACTATATTTATAAACAAAGTTCATCCTTGTCATTGTTAAATAAAACAAGTACATCAGCAGACAACTATCGGGAGATATAAGCGCTCACTCCCCAATCAAGACAATTTACATAATTTAGAAAGCAGGTTGCTTCGTCCTCGCCTGTAACTGCTAACCCAGGTTTTTGGCGTTCCACATCACAGCAGAGATACACAGAGTGTCCAGCAATATTTCCTGAAAAAATTTACTACCTGTAAAAAAATTTACTACCCAGCAAATCAAGCCCCACACCAGCTCGAAAAAGGGAGTTAATTTGCGCCATCAATAACATTATATATTATTATTATTACATAACATATGGCACGAAAAGAACACACAACAAAGGCCAGTCGACAAAATGGAGGATAGACGGACGATCGCAAGCTTGCTTGCAGCTAGATTTAGTTTTAGTAAAGTTTTTACTGCGCTCGCAACTGCATAGGTGATATGAGCGACAAGGGGTGGATGTCAACAGAGAAGTCCAAGCTTCGACTATCAAGGCACCCCGGAAATAGTAGTTCACAAGTGTGACAAACATACAAAAGAAGTAGAGGAAAATGACGATAGTAAAGAAGAGGACAGAAAAGGCAGTAATTTCCCCTACGCGGGTCCAGCACAGTATGAGCAAGACATTGATAAATCAGCCCATTTACAATTCTACTGTGCATAAGAACATGTTAATATCCTCCCTTTGGGAATGGCCTAAAGACGTTTCAGTCAGTAGCACTGCCCTGGTGGAGGTGGGAGGGGGAGGGGGGGTAGATTTATACCTAATGTGTACACACAGGGTGACTGCCAAACCGGCTTCTCCATTTTCCAGGGCCATGTTACACAACAACGCGCACACACGTAATGACTCGAGTAAACCTATTCAGTGTGAGAGGTGTAAGAACTGTGAGAGGTGTAAGAACTGTGAGAGGGCAAGAGGCAGTGGCACTGAAAATCTGCCAGTCTTGAACAGAAAGCTACAATATTGTTCTAATTTAATATCACCCAACAAATGAAACGCGAACACTTTATTTCAATAACACGGCTTACAAGGTATGAAGGATCCCGATCCCACACAAGGCCTGCACCAACACGTGCTTTGCAGAGGGCTCTAAATCTAATCAAAATTCTGAAATTTGCTTACAGTTTTTGTCCTCTGATGTTGCCTTCATCCGCTCCCCCCCCCTCCCCCGAGTGTCTCTTTAAAAAAATCAATAATCCCTGCCCTACTCGGTAGTCCTATACTTCGCAACGCTTGACTTTTTAATGAACTTTGGCGACCCCAACAAACGCCGGTGCTCACCGATGCCGTACCTTGTAGTGCCTCGCACGAAGGTTCACTGACCTGTCACACTAGCGAACCTGACAATCTAAAAATCGGACAAAGCTTGTATTTTCTTTTCACCCCACCCCCACAAGTGACACCACGGTGAAGAGTCCGAGTAATTATTAAATTTTGTTTGCACAGCGACACAGCGTTTATACTGTACAACCTGCATATTACAAATATTGCGTTATCAGTTTATCTTCGCCAAATTTCAGGGTGGTAACGAAAGCGAAAGTAGATCTTGATTTTCCCGATCGAGCCTCGGTGTCACATACACTTCCACCTGCCGCCATAGCCGGCTTTTCGCGTGAAACGTACTCTCGGACGGGGAAAAGGTGAACGAATAATTATATCACAATCGCGACCTGCAAAAACGGAGTCATGTACCGCAGCTAGGGTTCACTGAAAAGTCTTGCTGGCTTCATCACTCAGTATGCAGGCTAATTTACGACCGTTTACCAAATTCTTGCTACCTTCAAGGCAAATTTACTACCATTTACGACCTTTACGGCCAGGGTGCCGAATTTGCGACTTTTTTACGACTTTACGACTTTGCTGGACACCCTGGATACAGAGCTCTCTAAGAAAGAAAAATTTCCTCAAATGAGAATCGAACTCACCTCTTTGTCCGAGTTTGTGAAAGGATAAGCACATTGATCACATAATAATAGTCATATAGTGCATGGAAAAGGTAAGACAGACAGATATCACAGAGGGAAAGAAAAGAAGCAGAACCACTCGTGAATACACCTCTGTGCAAGATGCGGGGCGAGACCATTACATCATAAAATGCAGGTTGGCAGAAATATGAGTTTTTGTTGTTTGCATGAGGAAAAAGAAGCATGTCAACACAATACTGATCATTTAGTGCAGGGAAAGAGTAAGACAGTCAGAAGCAACAGAAGGAAAGAAAATAATTAAGACATACCAGAGGCGCGCTTTAACCACCCGTGTACAGACAGAGAGATATTTCAGCTTACCTCAGCCTTTAAGAATGGGTTCTCCATTTTGAGAGCATCGTGGAGCGCTTCACACTCCACTAGAGGGAGAAGAGATGTGTTTTCTACCCAGGCGTTTAGACACGCAACCACCTTCTCTCTCAGGGCAGGCTGGAACAAAGAAAAAAAAAGAAACCCATTAGTCAAGAAAACAAATTTTCTTCTTTCACATTTCAATACAGTTTTGCAAAACAAATAAAGACTCTCACTTAAAAATAACTAGGGCAAGACACTGAACCGCAACTAACACACATCATAATTTACCTTGGAGTCGGCCAAACAGGCAAGTAGTCCCGGCCCAACAACCTTGACGTGACCTTTGCAGTGTGGACCCAACGCTGTCGCCAGAGTCTGGAGGATGCCTATTGTGACCATTTGCTGGAAAAATGCAAACAAGAAATAAAATAAGTATAATGCAAAAGTAAAAACAAAAATAACCATTACACGTCATATTAAAATGAAGGGTAAATGGGAATAATAAGACATGTCAGTTTTTGGACAATTTGAGTTGTGATGTGGTTGGGAAATGTTTAAGCAGCTGTTCTGGACCATCTAATACTCAATGCCCATTTAGGGATTGACATATCGACCGCCCACTTCGTGGCCCGAAAACAAACACGTTTGTTTTTTGAGGCTGCGAGTCGGGTGATCGGTTTGTGCCACGATGGTCGTTTTACGGCCTCAATCTGACTAGCCCCGCCTACCAACTCGAACCAATGGTGTCAATGGGCACCTCCTATAAGTCTCCTTAGTTAAAACCTGATGAGTTGCCCAATATCGGGCTCGTAAAATAAGTTTCACTACGGGAAAACATGAGTTGTCAGGTATTTCATTTTTGTTTTTCTCAAAATCCCATAGTGCTCTTCAAATGATTATAAAATGTTCATGCTCCCTTCGAGGCACTTTAAATCACTTAAGGAGTGGACTGCTTTGACCTTGTCTGGCAGGGCTTTCCTGAGCTAAGTAGAATAAACACATCTCAGTCAACAGATGGAGATGCTCCATTTACAAATTTACAACCCCCACCTGCTCACAAATTCACATCTTCTGTGTGCAATGGCAAAGAGCCTATCCATTACAACACAGACACTGGTAGAAAATCAAATTAATTCAGCAATAAGTCCACAAATGTAACAAAGTGGAAATGACACACACATATACGTGTGTATGTGTGTGAGTGTGTGTGTGCGCGCACGTGAAACACCAAATCAATGAGCCAGCATCTGGACGATGAAAATTTCATCTTGTCTCATCTATCGTAACGTCTGCCCACAGCTGACTTGAGAAGAGTTTAAAAAATGAGATTCATCAGTAAAGCTAACAGATAACCACCTATTGTGAAACGCAGACGATTTATCTTCCAAGACAACAACTTTTCATTCCACAGAACACTCACCAGATTTTTGTTGGATTCCCCTAATCTTGCCTTCAGTGCTTCTGGTAAGGAGCCCAAGTTGGGCGTGACAAATTTGGCTTCGGACAAGATGGTGGTGACTTTTTGAAGGGCTTCTGCACGGACTTTCCAGTTTTTGTCGGCCAGCTCCGTCAAGAGGGCCTCAGTGATCTTCTCACTGAAAAACACATGTATTCACAGACGTTTTATTATCCTCACTACATGCCTAAACAGATTCACAACATTCAGGCTAGTTCAAAGGCAAATTCCTCAGCCATTTGATGTGACATGGGGCTGACAGAAAAATATTCCCATAAAGTCCAGCTGTAGTTTGAGAAAAGCGAAATAACATCAACACAAAAATGGTCATTTGGTGAGAAGAAAAAGCAAAACAAACAGAAAGAAACAACAGGTAGGGAATAAAGAAAAAGAGACAGGCAGTGAAACTCTTCAATCATCCATGAAGTATTATAGGAAGGACTACAAAAAAATCCAGACCTCATCTCAAATTTCAGCAAGTTGGACAAATTTGTAACTATCTTTTAACAAAAAGCAAAACTATACAGCAGGCAGAGAAACTCTCAATGCAAGGAGCACCATGACAAGCCGTCTTAGCAGCACTGACCAATCACCTTATGTCATTTCTGGGCACCAGATCCTGCACCGGTACCTCCCCCTCATTCTCCTCCCCATTTTCCTCCCCATCTTCATCCTCCTCATCATCTTTCCCTCCAGCAGACATCACTTTCCGAGTGGGAGCTGGTGGGTTTACTCCTTTCACCTGAAACAAATGATTTGTAAAAAAAAATGTCAATCAAATAGTAATAATCAAAATACCACTTTTATAGATCCCTATAGGGAAAATTAGTTCATAATGGCTAGAACAACATACACACAAACACATACATGCACACACACGCAAGCATGCATGCACAATAATTTGTCAATACCACAACATACAGACAATTAAATATTGTTTTTAGATTATAATATATTACCAACATGACATGACACACAATACCACACCAATATACACAATTAAAAAAACACCAAAAAAACCCACCAAAAAAAACAGCCATAGCAGTCCCCACTGTGCTGCGGCCTGTTTTTATGTTATGTTTTCATGTTAAATTGATTTTTCCTTGCTCAAGGACACATCCCAGTAACCCCACCCTTCTAAACACAGCTTAATCCACACATACTTCATCCTATGGGTGTGTGCCTGGATAACGGTCCCAGTTGTAGGAAATTTTTGATACATGTTATTAAGAAATGGTTAAACATGCGTTTTCTGAAGGAACTAAATTTTGCACCAGGTATGACTTTTTAGGCCTTTTCACTCAGTTGCTCAAAAATAGCGTTGCTGACAACTGGGACCTTTCTCCAGGCACACACACGTATCGTTAGATTACACAACACTCACCTTCTCAAACTCGGCATCGATCTGCTGCAGGAGGGCTGGCTTCTCATTGTCAAAGAGCACTCGGAGGGTGTCCCCCATGTACATGTACATGACGCCCAACAGGGCAATGGCTGCTGAACGAACACCCTAAGGAGCGAATGGGGAGAAAAACAGACACATAGGTTGAGATAGTTTGAGAGAAGCACATCTTGACACAAAAGCTATTTAGTGCTGAGGAAAAGTAAGGAGTAGAACCTACCTGCAGTGTCCTCCAACCGTTCACCAGATTGAGATATAACATACACATAGCAATCAGAGCAAATTAAATACTTACTCCAATTTACCCTACATAACCAGATGAGTTTAAAATATGAGGTGCTCATTTTTCTTGGGAAAGTGAAGACATACTTCTAGAAATTGGATCTGATTGCAAATAAACAAGCTCAGAAGCCTCAATACAGGAGCTTTTATTTTTGTTTGTTAGAGTAAAGAGGAGCACATCCTCATAGCAGTAATGGTCATAGAGTGTGTGGAAAGAGAAAGAAAGACAGATAGAAACAACACAGGAAAAGAAAATAAGTAAGTCCTAGCAATGGTGCCCTCCAATCACTTGCTAATTCAGTAACAAACTGATGCCCGATCTATGTCTTTTGATAAGGAGTGCAAAGCCTGAAATGCTGTGGGTTGATTTGCCATAGAATAAAGGCTTCCTACCTGATCTATTTATACTCAATATACATAAAAGAAATAGGGGAGACATGTAAAGGGAAAAGATGAGTAAAATGAGTAACACTTGTGCATCTGTCTCAAAAAAGTTTAGCTTGCTTTAGAAGAAATATTTTATACAAAACTGAAGACTTAGTACCTTAACTATTAAGTTACACAAACACAATAATAAAATGCCCTAATTGGCTTGAACCAATACTGCTCTGTCAACAAATAGAGAAAGATAAGAAAAAAGAAAATATCAAGACCTTTTTTTCTAAATTTTGAAGAATATACATTAGAAATCTTAGATCACACGACTATCCTGACTTGACCCAGCTTTTAAAAGAAATAAAAAGACACGAAAACATGGATGAAAATAGTATTCTTAAAAAATGTCGAAGAGAAATATTTAAGGCAAAGTAATCAAAATCTGATGAAGACATAAATTTAAGCATGACTGCTTTTGACACCAACTTTTTTCCAAGGACATGGCATGTCCATGGCAATTTAACAAACCAAGAGGTCAACTGTAGGGTCAGACAAGATAACCAGGACACAGACGACATGAAACTAACCGGGTTTGTAGCTGCCAGGGCCTTGCTGACCACAGGGAGAATTCCTTTCACATTGATTCTGGACAATGAAGTAAAAACAATAGTTAAAAGATCACCAATAGAATTATTTAAAACGATAAAATGGAGAAAAGGTAAAAGTTTGGAGAAAGCAAAGCACCATGACATGATAGCAGCAATTTTGTGTTCGAAAAAAGTAAGACAGAATTAATGATAGGAAAGAAAAGAAGAAAAGCTTAATAGTCGCACCCCCCAGCCAGCTGCAAATTGCTATAGAAAGTTATCGTTCAAAACACGCCAGCAAGGGTACAAAAATTAGTGTCACAGGTGTAATGGTAAGGATCTTCACCGATACTGACATGCAAGGTCAAAGTACCTCCCCTCCTAAATTACCCAGATTGCGTTGCCAGTGGGAATAACGCATTTACAATAATTACCCATCACCAAAAAAAAATGAAGATATGAAATTCTTTCTCCTTTCAAAACATGAAAACCCAAGGACTGAAGAAGAAGATGAAAACAATCAAAAAGTACAAGTCAGCAGGTCACTTACTTGAGGCCAAACTCCTGGACAGCAGTTGACAGCCAGGTCAGAGCTTCCTGTTGGATCTTCGGGTTCTTATTTTCAAAGGCTCTGGCCATGGCCTGGGTAAGATTGACAACAAAATTTCAATAAAATAAAAAAGAACGAAAAGAAAAAACTTGCAAACAAAAGCAGTTACTGATTGTGAACAAATGATGAAAATTGACTGATAACTGACAAGACATGGAACTAGTCACTGACCAGGAACAAGAAATTTGTTTTGTTCGTATGAGTAAAAAGAAGCACATAGATACAACAACAGTCATTTAGAGCTGGGGAAAAAGTAAGACGACCAGAAACATCAAACGGAAGGTGTAAAACTAAGAGCTACCAGTGATATATTCCAACCACCCACAGATGAAGGCAAGAAAACTGACATAGACCCCAAACGAAGAAATTAAAACTGTCATTGACTAAAGAACAAATTTGACAGTAACACATGGCCAAGTACCGAACTCTCCTCCTACTTTTCTTCCTTTCAATCTGCGCCTTCCTCCTCCTGTCTCCTAACACCTTCTTTTCTCCTTTTCTTTCTTCCTCTTTTTTCCTCTGGCATGGATAACACAGAGAGTGTAGATATAATGCTATGTATGTATACTTTATGTAGCACAAGCTGGGGACAGTTAATAACTAATTTCTTCCTCTGGAGAACTTATAAAATATATTTTATCCAAATTTTACTCATCTGTTCCTCCACTAGCACAGAGAAAAAGGGAGGGAGGGAATGTGAGAAAGAACGAGAGAGAGAGAGAGAGAGAGAGAGAGAGAGAGAGAGAGAGAGAGAGAGAGAAAGAGAGAGATTATATAATATGTATGTATATTTTGTGTCACAGATGCTGACATAAGCAAGTTGGTCAATTCTTTATCCGGAGGCATGCCTTCCTCACCTCAGTACAGACAAAGTCCAGGCCGAGCGCCTCTGACATGCCAGTCAGACAGTCCTTGGCTGCAGCACCATTCTTGGCATCACCAAGTTTATCCACGATGTCTGCCAGGCAGAACTCTGCCGAGCGCTTGGTGAACTTTGCGTTTCTTGACAGGTGGGCTACTAGTTCTAGCTTCAGTTTCAAAACCTGAGAAGGAGTGGTTGTTTAGAAAAATAGAGGAAAAAATCAAGTATGGTGTGGTGTTGTGATGTGGTGTGGTGTTGTGGTATGGTGTGGTATAGTGCAGCTTGCACTGGTGTGGTATGGTATAGAGTTGCAAGGTATGGCGTGGTGTTGTGTGGCACTGCTTTAACACTATCCTTTCACACTTTAAAGAAGGAAGACCTACGAAATTAACACCTATCACTCTTACAGAACTAAACCCCGTGCACGGAGAGCTTTGAAAACCCCCAAAACAATTCAAGTTCAAAAAGACCCCAACTGAGGATTCAAACCAAGACCATCTACATTTCAGTCAAGCACACTAACTCAGACACAGGTATAGCCAAAATAAAAACTAGAGTACAGCTCATCTCTGATAAACCTTGACATACAAGACATTGAGTATTGGCCCCTTATGTTCCAGAAATCAAATCTATTTGAACACAGAAAGTCAGAAGATGAAAAAAATAAACGACGACAATGATTTAAGTAAGTCTTGAAAGAATAAAAAAACCTATAAATATGGCTTGAATGGGCTCAGAATTATTTTTTATGATCCTAACTTTTGGTAGATCCCACCTTTTGGTATCAGTAAAGAACAGCATTTGCATAGAAACGAATAAAATGCAGCAACCGAGTACAGAAATACATGATGTGATGACAAATGACACCCTCCTCTGTCATTCAGGAAGGAAAATGGGTTCCTTACAGAACTATTTTTTTCTATTAACACATTTAAATTAATTTTTACTGAAGATTAACATCCCTACTACCAATGATGGCACCCTGAACCACCCATGATAGAAAAACAATAATATTTTAAAGTGTATAACAGCACTGACAACCTACCTGGAAGTTGGTCTCTTTGAGTCCCGGCTTTTTGCTGAGTACTCTGATGCACACCTGGCAAGGGATGTCATCTTTGCCGGTGCTGCTCACAACCTGCTCGCAACAAAACAGAGAGAGAGAGAGAGAGAGGGAGCTTTGAGCCTTTATTTTTCGCTTTTTAAAATTGGTTAAATCGATTTACTAAGTTATGAGAAACAAATCAACACAATAACAGTCATTTTCTGCACACATCATTTTAGTAAGGGTTTTTGCGGCACTTGCACAATAATTAGGTCATGTAAGTGTCAAACATTAGAGAAGTTATAAGAGAGTAACAAACATAAAAAATAAGGAGATATAACGATGTATGTTTGACAGGAAAGGAGCATAACCACACCTGATAACTCGCCAACCACCCACAGGGACAAAAAAAAAAAAGACAGACAAAAACAACAGAGGAAAAGAAAGAAATACGCTTAGTGCCCTCAACAACCAGCAGTTGTTAAAACAATTTTATCAATTTGTAATTAATTTTTTTTTGATGGCCAACATTGAGCATAGAGGATGGCATAGATACGAAAACGGCATTTGAGCGCAGGGAAAATAAACAAGATAGACAAATAGAAACAAACCAAGGGAAATAAAGAAACAGGGCCTACCAGTGGCACCCTGCCCTGTGATGTGATACCCATGCATGTATATATATGTCTCGACATGGTGGAATCAGGCACTCGTCAATCTTTAGGCATGTAGAGTTATTTATATCATCTGAAAGCTTATTCATTTGCTGTGCGTTCAGTGAAAAATAGATATCCATCTCGCTGGAATAGAAATCGAGATATTTGCCATTGAAGAAGGTGGGGTAGCCTGGTTTCAGTGGTTAAATTAATGAGAAAATGGCCGCACAGTCTGGTAACTTCAATAGCTTAAGAGTCCTTGAAAAATGAAAATTATCTATTTTGTGCCTTAAAACAAGGTTTTTCATTAAAATTCACATGGAAATGTGTTTCCGTTCCGTTTTGTTTTAGTAAGGTTTTACAGCGCTCGCAACTTCATAAGGTCATATAAGCGCCAAGGGTTGGATGTCAAAAGAGAAGTCCCAAAGGGGAATCAGACTTACTCTGCTCACCTCTCTTGCCTCAACAGCACAAAGTCTGCTTCGACTATCAAGGCACCCCAGAAATAGCAGTTCACAAGAGAGGGACAAACATAATAGAGTAAATAATAGAGAGACAGATATATGTCCCCGGATGAGTAGGATACATCATCCTGGCAGACCAACAGGTATACTCTCTAAAAAAAAACCCCAACCCAGCAACTTTCTCACTTGGAATCAAATTCAAGCTTTCTTCATATGATGAAGATTACCCTAACAAGTACACCACAGATCCCAATGATCTTACCTTCACCATGCCCTCCATAGCCGCCAGTCTCTCCTTCCAGTTGGCACTGGCCAGGTTGGTCAGCGTGTCGCCAGGTAAGAAATCCTGCGCTTTCTCCTCAACAGCTTCATCCTAGATAGACAAATATTTTAAAAAACCCTTTTCTAAGAATGCGCGTAGTACAGTACAACACAGATAGGTCGAACACAGAAGACTCAAAATTACGTATCTTTCGAACTGTGCCTGTGGTTCTGTTTTTTGTCCTTTTCTTCTTTATCTTTGTAAGAAATCCTTCAAACTACGGATCTCTCAAACTACCGACGGCTGTCCCGATAAATTCGAGCTATCCGTGTAATACTGTATTTATATCTTTCTCCTGTGAACACTAAATACTGCATCACATAAACTGAGGTGCTTAACAATTTGCAGTAGTCAAACAAAAAACAGGAGAGTATTTATTACTCTTAGTATAAGAAAACAGATGCACATTCACACACAACAACAGCCATGTAGTACAGGTAAACAGCAAGATAAACAGGCAGAAACAATTGTAGAGTGGAAAGAAAGAAAATAGTCATTTCCAGTGGTGCCCTCCAGCCACCAACAATATTTTATGAAACCTGACAAAAGCAAGTTAAAATGATATTGATCATCATACATGAAAGGCCAAGAACATTCACTGCATTTTTACACTTTACATAATGTTCTTATTTAACCCCAAAACTCAGTTCATACACTAGCAAGCTTTTGAAAAAAATAAAACCTCGAATACTTGATATGGTGAGGGAAAAACCCCTCCCACCCATAGCAACTTCAGAAGATAAATCTCAGAGACAATATATTAATGCAAAATGTAAGGGATGCTCTTTGCATCTGGCAACAACAGCATCAACGACAACAACAACCCCCCCCCCCCCAAAGTTCAACACACTTCTATCAGAGTGTAGGTCAATTAACTGCTCAAAAGCGTTTTTTTAACCCCCCCCCCCCCCCCCCCCCTAAAAAAGACAAAAACAAAGTCAACAAACAAACCCTAATAAAGACACCTACTACACAGAAATATAAAAATCATATTTTAACCACATAAAAAACAAAGCATAAATTTCATAACTTTCCATACAAACACATGAAAATAGTCATTGGTTACAAGTTCTCACAACGGCAGAGAACATCAAAGTGAACAAAGTAAAATAAGGTAGACCTCAACATTACACAAGGGCAACACTGCTTTATAAACATTGCTACTGTTGCTAGAAAAATAGAAAACTCATCTTGTACTCAAAGCAGAGTCAAATGGAGTTACTCATTTTCCTAGTTTCAAACAAATTTTCAAATTGAGTTGTATGTTCTCCCACGTGGAGGAAAAAAGGCACTCGAACCATGCCCACCTTTTGAGAATGGCTTAACTAAAGAGAATGAGGTCTACAAAAAATGCAAAGTAACATCACGGTTTCACAACTAAAAGCCCAAACTGTCATACAAGCCTTTACTTTAATGCGAAGACGAAAGGGGGAGGTTTTCTTCTGAGACTGTCTTGCCAGACGGCATGGAGAGGTGTAGCGGAAACATTTCTGGTAGACATCATGTTTGTTTAAGTAAAGCGAGCACACAGACATAATTTACATCAAGTGCAGAGAGACAGATACTGACTGCACTGGAAGAGTAAAGAAGTAACCGGCGAAACCAGAAGCCCATTCCACCCTCTTGTAGAAATGTTAAGTAGTAAGTGAGGACCACATAAACGAAGAGATGTGTACGTCAATACAGAGGGGCATTGATTGAAAGTGGAATGCATGATAACAAATGATACTTCTAAAAATAAAACCTTGCTTATCAATAATTTATTCACTGAAAAGTCGTCGAGTCTGAGATTTAAAATCAAATTTTCTACTAGTCTTTTTTCTAAGGTTATGACCCTACTAAAGACAAGACAAAGCACTAAGACAGCTCATTATTCCTTGTGACTGAAATACAGAGAAAATCTTATTTTTCTCTGTCTTGGGTAAAACAATTTTTTTCAAAGAATACCACTTTGCTAAATAACACAACCTGTAAGTTTATATGTTAATTTATATAATAGAGACACAAACACACATACATATACACAAAAACAAACAAACAAGGAAAAACTGCTAACTTAATCTATTTCATTTTCTTTGTTTTCATTCCACTTCCCCTTTACTTACACTCAGGACAGATTCCATTTTTTCTTCAACAGGTCCCTTTTTGCCTTTTTTAGGCGGAGCTTTCGCCTGTACGAAAAAAACAACAACAAATAAATAAATAAAACACAAAAACTAATCACAAGCTACAGGAATATCAATTGCAAGCAAAATATTCTTTTTTAACAGAGGACAAAAGTAAGTAATTATGATAAGAAATTAGGGGTTACATTGCGTCTCAGTTACACTCAGCCAAGCAAAACAAAAGCGTACAGCTTGGTTTAAGACATTTATGCCTTTCACATAATTAATCATAAACTTCAATATCTTTGAACTTTTCCATAAATAAATAGAAAAAAGACTTTATACTCTTTTAGTTATTTAAGATTAATAGCCTTCGAGGACTCCAACATGCATTAAAACAATGGAGATAATGTTGCCATTATTCATGTATGCAACAACATGAACAATTAATTAATACTGAACTTTCTTTGAAAGCAGAACAGCATTAGGAAACAATTCTTACACAATTTTAGTTGCTTCTATTCAGCCATTTATTATAGAACCAAAAAGGGAAGGGAGAGACGACAAAAAAGAGAGAACATTTCATAACTTTAGATAAAAGTCAGAGAGAGAGACTTAAGTATACCTTTGGCTTTGCTTTGGCAGCACCACCAGCCTGTTAGAAACGATAAATTTGTCAACTTCAGCCACAGCTTGCATACAAGCACTCATGCGTATGTGAGAAGACACACACACACAAACACACATGATGGGAGGATGTGCATGCAATGACTGCAGGCATAACAATGACTGAAATGGTGGTTTTTCAAATCCGATCATAAGTTCACAAAATTGATGATAATAAAGTGCTCTCATGACTGATGATGGTAGGATTAGAGGTGTTCTGGATAGGATCAAATCATCCTTTGCGAAATGCTGGCTGCAATGGCAGAATTAGGATGAGGACAAAATACGCTCATTACAGATGATGACTGAAATGATGGTGTTAGCGCTAAGATCAAAGGTTCATATTATTTATAATGAAATACTCCTATGATTGATGACTGAAACAGAGGGATTCTGGCTAGGTTCAAACATGATCATGACTGATGATGACGACTGAAATGGTGCTATGGCTAGGACTAAATGTGTTTATGAATAAACATGATAGAAATGGTGGTGTTCTGGCTCAGACTGAATATGCTCATGACTGATGATGACTGAACTGATGGAGTTACGACTTGACTAATTTTAAATGATATGCTTTTAAACTGTTGCTTTAAAATTGTGATTTCCAGGAGTGGTCAAGGTTTTAACAATTGATGATGACCTAAATGGCGGTTTTCCTCAAAAAGGTCACGATGTTCTTTCAACAGATGAGAAATGAAATGATACGAACTTAGGATATCAAAATGCTGGACTTTTTGGCCATGATGATCAAACAAAGCCAATGAAATCCAAGCTGAAAAACGTTGGAATCAGATCAAGGCCTTAGCATTCACAATCATTTCACAGATGACACTCAATAACCGAAATGATAGCAATGAGACAATTACTTCGCTAAGAATAGATTTATTTGGGAAAAACCCTTTCTCAAAATTTTTTTCAAACTGACTGAAAACTTAAAATCAATTCAAGGCTTGCTTCTCCCCTAACAATCTTTTCTATTTTTCAAAGGTGTCATTAAGTGAGGAAAAGAGAACCTTTTCAATGCCTAATGTAGAGAAAGTTTTCTGAAGAAACTTTAAAGACCCCAATAATTTATCAAAGTCCACTAGACAAAAATATTTCCTCTGCATCCAGGAAAAAAAAAAGTCTGTGTTTGATCTGTAAACAACCTTACACTTTCTTATCTAAAAGTCTGCACTACACCAGTCTTTATTTTTCTAGTCTTTGACTAAAATTTGAGAAATTGTTTTGCTATAAACAATTTGAGTTTATTTTGTATTTTTAAAAGAGTCTTGTGAAAGTACTCCCATTCTTTGCTTATACAGCAAGCATGTGACATTCTTTCAGGAGTTGTGAAGATAGCAATGTTTTTCACACCACAATGAAGAGGGCTGGGTACCTCTCTTCTTTTTAAACATCCTTGCATGCTTAATTTGTTACTTCAAAGCACTCCAACATTCAGTTATTTCAAATTTTATTCCCTCTTCAAGAAAGAAAAGGGTTTATTCTGCCATCCACTCATAATAATCTTGTCCAACGACAAAGGTCATCATCACACACCCGACCATCAAGTCAATACAAAAACGGGTGAAAAAAAAAGACCAAACTAACACTAAGAAAAACCCCCCAAAAAACAAACAACAACCCAAGAGGAGAAATTGCACACATTCTGCTACCACACAATCAAAGGTGAAAAAATATCCTTTCAGGAGAAAATTCCATCATGACTTGACCATAAAAAAAAGGGAGGGGGGAAAAGGAAAAGAAAAAAAAAGGGGGGTGGGCACCATAGACATTTCTCTACCACCATAACAAAACCAACACCCTAACTACATTACAATGCAAACAGAAGAAAAAATTCCCAAAACCCAGTAGTGTTGTGGTCCACTCACAGCTGGCTTGGCAGTGCCCGGTCGCTTCACTGGTTTGGGTTCCTCACTGCCGGATTTGGCGGGCGGCGCGGTGGACGGACGTTTGGCTGGGGCGGCTGCAGGAGCAGCAGACGCACCCCCACCGCCACGGGGCTCACCTTTAGCATTGAGTAACACAGCCTTTTCACAGCTTTCCTGGATCTGAAGAGGGAACATTCATATTAGCATCATTAAGGCACTAGGAAAACAATAGCAAACAGTCCTGTTCTCCAGGAAAAAACCCCCCATGAAACAACCCCTTTCTTTGAAAAAAAAAAAAAAAAAAGCATAATTTTTCTCAATAAACAATCAATTTCTAGTAGCCAGTATTTTTCTTCATAAACAGTCCTCTTGTTATTAAAAGCACTTCACTTTTTCTCAGTAAACACTTATTTTCTTATAAAACAGTTATTTTTCCATGTATGAGTCGAACAGGTTTAACGGCCTTGTAAAGATTGTTTACGAAGTGAGACCTCCAAACTTAACAAACATCCATCTCCAACTTGGTCAGAGTTGAATGGGTGGAGAAACATCCCCCCCCCCCCCATGTAAGTCCCAGACCACATCGTGTAATCAAACCAGAGTTATCAGCATCATAGTCTAGCATGATACCAGCTGAGCTACAACTACCACCCACAGTTATAACCGAAGCCTGAAAAAGATAGCCAACATAGAATTTGAAAAGAAAAAGAAAAAATTTGAAAAAAAAAAGAAAAAAGTAATATAAAACAAAACCTTCTGCATTTTGATGTTATCTACATCCACCAGGAAGGGTGCGATATTCTTCTCAGTGACGACCTTCATGGCGGTGCCCAGAGCTTGGAAGGACGCCTCGCGCACAGCAGGATCAGACTCATTGACCGTCTGAAACAATATTATACAGGAAAATCTTAAAATATTGACACAAGATGCATACATACCTCTCCCAGTATCAACTTTTACTTTTTGCTTTATTTGGATATACTGCACTACATGCATACCTGTTGCGTCATATTATGATGTGCTGACATAAGGGCCAAACACCATCGAAACCCAACAAAGTCACTGAAATTTGATAACCCCATTGAAAAGTTTCATATATAGCTTGGATGTCGTTAATCAGGACTCCTATCAAAATTCCTACACATAAACTCATGAAATAATACATTCCAAGGCAAATGTTTTACAGCTCCATTTAAACACTTTAAGATCATTTCGGTGGGGAGAAGTTTCCATCTGGCCTGCCAGGGCCAACCTGGGCTGTGTAAGACAAAGCATGTCATTAGCATAGAAAGATGGAGATAATTGACAAAATATCTTTCCCAAGTGGAAATTCAATTTACATCCTTAAAATGCATCCCAAACAAAGTAATCTTGTGCTGCACACAGCTGTGCGATTAAAAATGGCAGAGAAATACAAACATCTAAATCAAGCTTTTACCTATATAAACAGGACAAACTAGAAACAAGCATACACCCCCGCAACACACACCCCCTAAAATCATTCATTCCTCCAGTGCCAGATCTGCGACGGACATCGGCGATAATGGTTCTCCATTCAATCCTTTGCTTGGATGCTCTTTAAAAAGTTACCTTTCCCTGATCTTTCCCCGCTTCGGTGCTACCCATTTGTTTAGGTTCCCTAAGTGGGTTGCTCTGGGCCTGCCCCTGCCTCGTTTGCCTTCAATTTTGCCAAAGAGAGCTAGATTTTCAAGACTTTTACCCCTAAACTGGTACAGAAAAAAACTCCTGCCTTGTCTTTCTTTCACCAAGGAAAAAGGAAATGAATAAAGATTAAATCAAGAAGCAACCTCACCCTCTCTCCCTCTTTCATCATTCCAACATTTACTCACAGAATCTTTCATAAAAATTCAGAGGTTACAGGTGATAGAGAGTGAGTAAGAGAAGTGATAAAAAAACGACAGTCTTAAAAACTCCTAGCAACAGTTGATTTTTGGAAAAACATTTGATTGTCATAAAAATCAAGCCTTGCTTGCTTGAATTTAAAAAAGCATACCAACACAATAACAGTCATTAAGTGCAGCGGGGAGAGAGTAAGACATATATGTGTCATGACGCGGTGAAATTGGGCGCTCATCAATCTTTGGGTCTGTAGAGTTATTAGTATCATCTTAAAGATTGTTCATTTGCCTCGCTTTCGATGAAAAAATACCCATCTATCTTGAATAGAAGTTGAGATATACCAAGTCGCAAAAGTTCTGTCACACCCATTATGTTGCGACACTTTTTGCTACAGCGAAAAAATTGCACAAATAAAGAAAAGTATGACTTATGTAACTTGTGAGACTCCTCGTGCATGAGCAGACATAAGAAATCCTAAAACCGGAAGTGGGTATGAGGGCAAAGTGTGGGTACTGATTTCTCACAGTGTACATTGAAATCAAAGCTTCCTACACACACAATTTACTTTGAATCACGTAGACAATGTGTAAACACACCTTACACACAGTAAAATCCCGTACTTTTTAATGGTTGGATCATTTTTTCACATGTAAAAAAAAAAAAACCCTGACAAATGCAGAAAACAAATGCGCTGTGTGTATGTTAATTCTTCAATTGCGCTTTCTGCCGTTGCAAGACACGTATTTGTGTGTAGAAGAACTATCTAACGTTTGAACAAGCGTTTTAACCCCACTAGAACTGTCCAAGACAGGCCTAAACGTGGCCTACCAAGGACGACTACTGGACGTCAGAATTGGGTTGTTGTCAACATGCATGTTTGAAACCAGTTCCAACTAAGCACAGAGACAGCCAGGTACTGTGGACTGTCTTAAAACATCATTATTAGGCATTTACGTGACAATGGATTCCGTTATTATCGCCCTAGATGTGGAGCCATTCGAACCCTGTTTCATTGAAGAAATCTCCCTTGAATAAGGAAAAACATTGGGCAATTCTTTTCATGTCAGGTTGGCAGGAAATGAATAAAGATCGGGCATACCAAATTTTTCTTGGCTACGTTGAAGAGTAAATGAATTATTGTACTTTAAGGTGGGTGTGACAGAACTTTGGCAACAGGGTATATTTGTCATTGAAGAAGGTGGGAGTCGCCTGGTATCAGAGGTAAATTTGTGAGAAAATGGTTTGGAAACTGAAAACTTACAGTTTTTGTGCCTTTAATCAATGTGTTTCAGTAAAATTCACACAGAAATGTGTTTTTAAACGGATATAAAAGATGTTGAGCCAAAAAAATAAAAATAAGATAAAGATTGCCAAACCTGCAAAAAAAATGTCGTTTTCTTCAATTTCATTATTTTGACGAGCACCTATTTCTAAGATCCCTCACATACAAAGAAACTTTAGAGGAAAAGAAAAGACGTAGGATCTACCGGTTACGCTCTCCAACCACTAGCGAAACAAAGTCTGAACCATCCATCCTGAGACACAGAGGAGAGAAAATAAGATTCTCACCTTCAACAGAGGGGCACAGTACGCCTTCAGCATTTTCTTGGGTAGGGAACTCTGGGTACAGCGAGCAAAGCAGCGAGAAAGAAATAATGCTGTCTCGGCTTTGATGGACGGGTTCTTGTTGTCCAGGGCAGCAGTCACTTCTTCCATGATAGCCTCCAGATTGGTCTGAGTGCGAGGTGAAGGGAAAAGACAATTGGTAATGAGAGTGATGACACTTGATGGCATTTTACCGTCTTTATTTTCAATTTATTACAGTTTTTCCACCGCCATTGAACCATTTATATCATTTGCGAGGCAGGCTGTTTGTACCCTATCTGCCAGGGCCAGCACTGCTAAGTGGGGAAAAAACATCCTTGCAGAAAGATGGAGATGCTTGATTAAAAACTTCTCCGTGCTGAAATTGAACTTACATCTTTCACCTGCAACAGTGAAGAGACTACCTATTACACCACGGAGGCCAGTCTCATTTCATTTCTGTATTGACAATTGCAACCAAATTTCAAGGAGGGAGAAAACAAAACCGACCCCCTCCCCCCCCCCCCCCCCCCAAATGTCTAAATAAAAAAAGAGACAGCTTTAGAAATTCAAGATATTTTATTCTACATCTTCTTAGCTCAATACTAGTTATCGACATGCATGCTTCTTGGAAATCACACAAGAAGGAAATTAAGGTCCTTTCCAGAATTACGGTAAAAAGAAAGGAAACTTTAGATTAGCTTTCAGAAAAACTCTCCACTCTGATATATTTTCTTATCTCACTGAAATTATCTCATTATGTGTATACTGCCGAAAGCTTAGGTCCTTTCTCATTACAGACCTAACAATTAGACAATGAAAACTTTTCTCTGGTAAATTACACGCTGATATATAAAACTATGCTTTATACTCAATTCACCATTAGAAAAGAAATATTTTCCACAAGCCAACTTACAGCCTGGAAGCTGGCATCAATGGCATCCCGCAGGGCTGCCACAACAGCAGCCTTCTTCTCTTTGAACTTTTCCAGAATAGTGGACACAGACTGTAAAACAGACCAACATTATACATTACAGTACCACATATACTGATGACTGACAACGTACACTGATGATTGACAATAAAGATTTATTAAAAATCTCAACAATATACTGTGACAACTGTTATGCAAACTACATCAAAAGAAAAAAGGGCAGAGGTTTCATATGGTAGTTTTGCCTTATTTGTGAGATACAGTAATTTGTGTTTGTTTCCTTTGAATAGAGAGAAGCACACTGACCCAGCAACTGCCATTATGTGCTAGGAATAAGCAAGAGAGACAGACAGAATTAACAAAGGGAGGGAAAAAAAATCTACTGCTGGCACCCTACCTAGTGCTGACACAAAGTAGAATATAAAAGGATCAATAAAAAATCAGTGCGAGGTGATTGGTTACAGCAAGTTTTGTGACCATATATCTTAAAGCATTATCATAATAATTTTATCATAAGCCCTCGCATAGACAGATGCTCAACAATAATCTCTTTTTTTTCTCATCTCCTTTTAAAAAAGATTTCAGTCATCTAAACTTGATTGCATTCGTAGAACTGTAGGGCAATTTGGGTATTCTTTTTCTTTCCACTAAATTTGAAGGAAATAAATCCCTAAAAATGTCTTTTGTTCCTAGCACCACTAAGAGGTTTTCCTTCTTTTTCTTCAATATCTAAGTAAGCGTTGAATTATTTTCACGAAAAAATAAAGTTAATAAATTTATCATATTTTGCTGTTGAAAACATTGATCAAAGTGGTTCCCCCACTTTGAACCTACCTAAAAATGTCAAGAAATAATTATGACTGCTTTTCAGATGGATAGCCATCAAAATTCGTCCTTGAGACACAGCAATTTTAGCTCAAATAGCATCCTGGACTCCAGCAATCATCAACAATGAAGCGTTATTTGAAATCTTTAAAGTGTTATTTTAATCAAGTCACTTTTAAACAAACTTCCCTTCAAAAACAAGAAAGTTGTCTTTTTCCAGTGTCCTACACAATAAAACAAAAAGGAAAGAAGACAAGTATAAGTCCAGATAATTCTCACCATGACAGCATAGGGCTGATATTTCTTGCGCAAACCGTTAGCGATTCCACTAACAGTCTTTCCAGCCAGGGCCACCAACATGACATTCGTGTCCTTTGCAATCACCTGAAAGAATTTAAAGTCATCATTAATGAGTCAGATATGCTTTTTATTATTTAAAAAAAATTTAGTAGAGGTTTTACAGCACTCGCAACTGCATAAGGTCATATGAGCGCCAAGGGGAGGATGTCAACAGAGAAGTCTTTACAGGGAATCAAGACTTACTCTGCTCACCTCTCTAGCTTCAACAGCACAAAGTCTGTTTCGACTTTCAAGGAACCCCAGAAATAGGGGGTCACAAGAGTGTGACAAACATACAAAAGAAGTAGAGGAAAAAGGACAATAGTAAGGATTAGGAAAGAAAAAGCAGCAGTTCCCTGTTGTAGAACAGGCACAGTTATGAGCGTGACATCGACGAATCAGCCCTTTTGCAATTCTACTGTGCATGAACGAGAAATGTCCCCCTTTGGGAATGGCCTAAAGACACTTCAGTCAGTGGAACCGCCCCGCGGGGTTTATATATGCTTAGCCAAGTCTAAACAAAAACAGCCACACTACATAAAGAACAAATCAGAACAAGAAATGCACTGAGAAGAAGAAGAAAAAAAAAGAAGAAAAACAAGAAGTAAGAGGAGGAGAAGGAAAAAAACACCAACCATTCATCCTGACATTTGAAACAAAAATCATATTCATTTACTGTTATAATAAGTGAAAATTTATTTCTATAGAAGTTCAGAGAGACAGTCCACACAACTTTTTCACTTCTTGCAAAGAAACAGGCAAGACATAGAGAGAGGGGCAGGTGGAGGTGTCATACAGTAGGCCTGTCATACTTTCCAGGTGCTTGAACAATGCAGAACATAGAAACACAAATGCAGGAGAGAGACAGGGATGCATGCTTACAGTAAAACCATATCTAAAGATGATCTAATGAATGAACGAACACAAGCTGAGTACAAGAGAAAAAAGAAACAGTTCCTATGCTTGTACTTTCAAATTCAATTTATTTTTGGACACACTGATATTTAAAAGAACTAAGTTTACTCTTCAGAAAGACAGAAATTGTCAGCCTGCCCCCTCCCCAAAAAACCCAGAATAAATAAAATATCCAACGAAAACAGAACAATCTAAATCCCTACCTTGAGGACGGCCCTGAGTAGAGCACTGTAGTCTCCATTCTCCAGCTTGGGGTTCTCAGACAATTTCTGTACAGCTTCCAGTACTTCCTTTCTCTCCTGCCACTTCTTCGCTTCCTGTAATGAAATCATTACTGGTAGAACAACGAAGAAGTCAAAACAACAAAGGGTGCTTAACGAATTATAAAACCGCTTGTGATTCAGGAGTTGTTCAGTCTCTACATTATGGCTATCAGTTGAGTTTGAGTAAAGAGAAGCCCATTGACGCAATACCAATCATTTAGTTCAGAAAGAAAGCAAGCCAGACAACTAAATAATACCGGGAAAGAAAAGAAAATAGGATCTGCAAATGGTGCCCTTCAACCACCTGCTCCAAGAGTTTGATGAAACAAAACTTGAAATTAATTGTTTTAAACACCTATGGGACCAGCCTCACCCTGGATTTTCAGTTCCCCATGATCGGAGCTGCCACCCACTTTCTGACTAGTTGAGATATATGTGTTACTCTATTATGAATAACTCAACCCCTAGTACAGTTGCAGACATGAAAATTCAGCAGCCTTCTAAAATACATTTCTATGCCACAACACATACTCATTGAAAAAATATTTTGTTTTGGGTCATTTAGGTATGATCAATTAGTTAATATAAAGCTTATAGCCAGACTCAGTTTGTAACTGAGATAAAAGAATAGATGGAGATCTACTTATAGAGTAAATTGCTCCTACATCAATAACAGGCTCCAGTTCTACATCATTTTCTTCTTGATCTGAAGACTCCTGATTCAAATAATAAGGATCATTGTCCATTTCATGGACCTCTTCATAATTGTCTGCGTCCATACAACGTTCATTAAACACCTCAGGTTCAGTTAAATCTGTTTTTGAACTCAATTTGTCACTTTCGAACTTCAAAATTGCCAAAACTCGGAAGCAAAATATCTAAACAGAACTAAGCGGTGGGTTAAAGAAAATATGCAAATGTTTGGAGAAACTTTGACTGCCCTTTGTTTGGACCTTGGTCATTTCGCTATTAAATGTTATGTAACACTAAGCCTCAAGACCTGAGAAACTAAATTTATATCCTACAGGTTCAATATGTCTTTTAAAGCTGCAAGCAATACAAATTATAAGCAAGTCATGAGTTACATTTAAGTAATTAAGGCATCACAATTCATGAACCACATTTCTGAAACTGATATTTCACAGATAAACGAGTGAGACTTATGAAACTAATACTCAGAGCTTCCAGCAGCAGATGTCATTTTTCGAGGATTTTCGGGTCCGGCAGGTGGTTGACGGGGGGAGTCCCCCTTACATTTGAGATTTTTTGGTTTCAGGACATCCTAAGTGTCATTTTTGGCTGTTCAAGCCTAAATTTAACAAGAAAATAAGAGAGAAAAAAACATACCTTGCATACACAATTTTCTGTTGTGTTAATCCATATAAATCCAAAGCCATGCTTTCTCCCTTTCCCTTGTACTGATACTGTACATCCACAACAGTAGTATAACAGCTAGATCTATAAAACTTGACAGTTACTGCTCAACTTTTCTTCTGCATGTGTTGGTTTGCAACATATAATGTGTAGAATCCTTTTATAATAGTATAAAAACAGCTAGAATCTAGATTCTAGATCTAAACAGCTTGACAGCGTATATTCAACTTAAATCCACAACAATATGTACAAATAAACAAGTCTGATGAAAAAATCAAGCTCTCTTCACAGTTTTCTTTTCGTGGCAGGCCCAAGATCTATTGAACCACAATCGTCATGTCTTCCTCTTGTTTACAGTGCTGGTGCTCTGCTTGCTTTAGAAAGTGAAAGTAAAACACTGCCTACACTTTCAAATAAAAGAGCACTTCCGGTATGGGTTGGCTATTGTTGACTTTTAGTAATCACGGACATTTTTGAATGTTGCATTTTTGAAAATAATTTTTTTATAATTTTTTTTTTTTTCACAAATTTTCACGGAAATTTTTCCATTTGCGGAATTCTACTAATTTGCGGAAATCTGCAAAATTGCGGAAGACTGGAAGCTCAGAATACTTCACAGATAAATGCAAGACATCTATTTCACCAATACATCCACAGATGAGTCTTGTTTATGTCATAAATATTAAACAGAGAAGTATATTAAATTCAAATGGGATCAATTCAACATCCAAAAGTTCATTAAAACTTGATGAGCATTTCTTTAATCCACTCAGTACCACAACCAACTTTGCACCAAGGTAATTCCTCCCTCAGGAGTTATTCATTATTACTGAGACAAAAATTACCGTAAGAATCAAACTGAGGCTGACGGACTATAAATGTCTTTGCTCCCATAGACACGCAAATTAGAAACAACAAGGAATGTAACACTTACAATTTGTTCATAAAAGTTCTTTGGCAACTTCTCTAAGATATCTACAGCAGTCATCAAGTCAAATGGATCAATGGCTTCTTCTTCTGCAAGAAATTAAAAAAAAAATATGTAAAAAAAAAAAAATAAACAAAACAATCATTATGAATTCAAAATGATAATCAATATTCCTAACATGACAGCAGTTCCCCTGACATTAAATTTTTTCCATGTGTCGAAAATACAAGTCACCAATCTTGGAAAACACTTCAATCTATCTTCAAATGTAAAGAAATTAAAAGATAAACCACTCCATTTTCATAATTGTTTAAAGTTTATCAGAAGCAGTAGTAGTCAGTGTATGCTGGTAGAGCACAAAAAAATTCCACAGTGCCTTCAAGTTTAATATCCGAACACAAAATTGTGGTTGGCTTATTTTTTTTATATTTTGGGCTTTTACATAATTTTTTCAAAGCACCTCTAATGCCAGCATCCAGACGTGGAAATCAGGCAAATAGTCCCAATGAGATGACAGAGCATGTTTTTTTCCTTTTTCTTTTAATGTTGGTGTTTTAATGCCTCATCGAAACAATTCTAATCATTTAGGAGGCGGGCTTCCAACCTTGTCAAAGCATGTAAGTCTATGCAATTCAAACATACTTGTCATTGATACTAATTTTACACTTCAACATTATATTTGCTTGTGGCACTCACCATCCCATTAACCTTGCCCCAACACATTACGAGCTACAAGTGTGGCATCAGACTAACACACTGACTGCATTTTTAAAAGGGAGCAGCAAAAGAAACGTGTACTGGTTTGAAAAACCTCAGCAGAGGTCAGGAGGTTTAGATTATCATCAAAATGTCGTGTATCACTTTAAAAAAACAGCCAAACTGAACTACAAGAAATCAAACAAAATCACAAAATAAAAATTCAAAGACTGCTTGTTCTTTATCATGAACGACATGTAAGAGAACAGAGCATACATAAACTCATAAAACAAAGACCTCTATTCTTCCTGGGACTGTATCCTGAGGAAAAAATTTGGAAAAAAATAAAAATAAAATAATAATCACAACTTTCTATCCAATTTATAATGAAACGAAACCGAACAGTGGAACTGAGACATGAAAGTCCATTTCTTTCAATTAAAATGCCAAAGCTACATGCAACAGCCTTGTACTTCTTTCAGAGGAAGACTTTGAGGCTAACCATGAAGCACCAGTTGACCATAGTGAGCAATGCTGAAGACACCCCCCCCCCCCACACACACACACCAGAAAAAAAAAGAATTGTTCTGATGGGGCTGTAAAACAATGACAACAATTTTAACCACATATGGAGTTCAAACAAAGTCCCTTCACCAGCCAACACGCTCCATTTTAAAAGTTTCCTTCCCCACTCGCTACACATTTTAGTCCAAAAGGGGAAGCCACTTTTGCCCCACATTATACAAATAGCACAATTATTCAGATATTCAAACCAAGCCAACAAAATGTGAACATAAACTCATTGTCTTAGAAGTAGAGAGAAGCACATAAACAAGATAATGATCATTTAGTCACGTGACCCCTGGGGTATAATTCTTGTAGAGTAAAGTAAAAAAGAAAAACCTCACAATATCCGTCAATGGTAATCAATCAGGGATTATATTGCCAGAAAGAGTTTGAGTGACACATCAACAACGCCTCTGCCCTCTCACCATTAGCGCCTCCATCACCACCTCCGTCCCCAGTGCCTTCGGCAGCCGCAGCCTGCTCCTCAATTTTGGCCTTTAGTTCTTGCTGTGATCTCATGAACCTTGACTGTACTGGCTTCCCAGGCGGCAGCTTCTCAAACTCTCCCTCAAATTCTTGCACCTGAAAAAAGAACCCAGTTCAATTGAATTGTTTAATTTTTTTTCCGTAAAGTGAAACAGATTGACACAATATCAGTCATTTAGTGCAAAGAAAAAGCAAGACAGATGAACAGAGACAATAGTAAGGAAAGGAAAGAAGTAGGACCCACCAGTGGCTCCGTTTATCCACCTGCATACATTCATGAAAGAAGGAATAGACTATTTTCCTACTGGGAAAGATTACAACAGACAGCAACAACAGAGTGTAATAAATAAAGAAACAGGACCTGAAGTGATGCCATCCAACCACATGTGTCAAAATATTAAAATCCAGTAACTCATTTGGAGCCTCCTTTTCACCTGCCATGGCTGTTAAAATCCAGCTGAAACTGGCACTTCGTTTGCTGACCAAGCCCCCCTCGGACCTCCTGTGTGAAGGTAACAAATCAGCGTCAGTCAGACACTCCCTCCCTCAACCATTGTGACTATAGCCAGGTCCATCGCCATACCTGCATAACTTGACTCTGGTAATTTTTTGTAACACTTTCCATCGCATTTTCTCCCCATCTGATAAAGACCAACGAGATTATCCCACTTTTTCTCCAAAAAATTCGACAAAGTTTTAGCATTCACACACTTTATACAGTAGTCTCCGCCTAAGATTCTGGTGCTCGGGAGCAAGGAAACGCGGGATCTTAGGCGAACCGGGATCTTAACCGACGAACCCAGGAAAGAATCTATGTTGACCCATGTTAAGGCTCACAATCGGTAAAATGGTCTCCCTCCACTCTACAATGAGCTGACGTGCCCCCTTGGTGGGTTTATGGCATATGGCGAGCAAAGAGTGGTTAACCTTGATGACCTATCACGGTGCATAGTGGCATGAGGCGAGCCATTTTCACTTATTATCCTATCATGAGTCTCAGGATGTACGATTATCCAGTTGCCCCTCCTCTTTACCTGTCAAAAATTTATAGCTTTCCATCTCTGACCTAGCGCCCCCCCCCCCCTCCAAACCGCCTTTGTCGTTACACACCATTACGTTGTGAACGCACCAATTAAAATTCAGTCTGTCTCACAAATTCAGGAGTAGAGACAACTCCTGCAATGGTCAAGGAGGAGTTCATGGTTCGATGTGATCCCGCCAGGAGCGAACTTGTAGGCCCTACCCACCCAGCGAGTGATGCAAGCTTAGGTGGCGAGCTCAGGTGTGAGTGCGATGCATGGGGAATACAAACGCTTCGGTCAGTTCACACCCCGGTGTGATCCCGTCTGGGGCAAACATTGTATCGCTTCATCGAGTTTTACAACATGTATGTGATCACATTCACGATAGTGGCTGATCTTTGACGCGACGGACAGTCTATTGATATCAACTTTTAACTCTTGGTTGATTGGCTGTGCCCACCCGGTTATTTATTTTTTTTAGCAAATTATTATCTGAAATGCGGGATCTTAGCCGAATGTAGACCATCAGAGCGGGATCTTAGGGGTGACTTTTGTATAGTAAAAATTCTGTTTTCCTAAAACAACGGGATCTTAAGCGAACCGGGATCGTAAGCGGTGGGATCTTAGGCGGAGACTACTGTAGTACAAGTGTTTCTTGTCTCAAAATTGCAATTTTCAATTATACTTCATTTATTCATTCATGTATCTAAGTATAAACAAATAAGTGAGTATGTACGAGCAAAGCAGTGCATTGTGAAAGTCCTCTCACCTGTATAGGTTTAAAGTTGGTCATCTGAGGTTTGAGGGCAGCCCCAATCCAGCGGTAGAGCTCGATGACAAGCTGTTTTGTCTCCTCTCTCACATTTTTGTCCCGGTCGTCCAACAGTTTGGGCAAAAGTTTTAGCAGAGGCTTCACTTGAATCACCTTTGTGCCAAAGTCTCTGTTAAAATAAGACGATGGATTCACATGCAGAGTGACTATAGACTTTCAAAAAAAAAAAAAAGGAAGAATAGTCTACCTGACAGCAACATAAACATAACATGGTACATATATAGTTCATTATAGCAACAATAAAATATCACAGCAACACTTTACACTTAGAAGCCAGCTTCAACTAAAAATTTGGGCAGTTTTTCTGCTGGAGAGACACAGCTCTCTCCACACTTCATGGTGTTTTCTGCAAGTTTAAGAGATATGCTCAGCAGTGTGGTCAGCTTCTTTGCAGGAGCCTGCAGATAACTTGACCAACCTAAAGTAATTTTACTTACTAACATTACTTTTTTTCTGTCTCTGCTACCTCGTGGTGTCAAGAAGGAGGGAAGCAAATGTCTTTTCTTTGTTGCAATGCCTGTTGCATGGTTATGTTCTCAACTAATGTTTTTCTAACCCCCCCCCCCCACCCCCCCTTTTTTTTTTTATAGTAGAGGGTTTTACAGCGCTTGCAACTGCATAAGGTCATACTCTATCCATGTTTTCCTGGGCCTGCCCCTACCTGTTTCCGTCTGATTTCTATTAGCACATGCCCTCTCTGCTACATTGTCTGGTGGTAGTCTTGTTAGGTGCTCAAACCATTTAATTCGTTGTTTGTCTATTGTAAACAGGGGGATAGAGCGAACCTGTTCTCTGAGAGTTTCTTTTCTCACCCTGTCTTTTCTTGTGATGTTGAAAGTTTTTGCATCAATCTGTTGTGCCCGATGCTCTGGCAGAGGATGACTGCCTCCTCCAGTCATCTCCTTCTTGCCTCAACACAGAGAACAATTAAATAAAAATGTCTCTTTATGATACCAAGGGCAATCCAGAACAGAATAAGGTATTATAAATGTGACAACATACTCACCTCAAAGCCATAGTGACGGTCTGCACACAGCCAACAACCACCTTTGGTTGTTTGTTCTCCATCCCTGTCATCAAGCACTCCTGCAGGAATGAATAGTAATGTTATTTTCTTAAAGTTTCCAAATCTTTGACTTCTACAATTTATACATTCTATAGATTTAGATGGTTTCCAAGTTTCATGACTATCACCAAAGAGATTCCACTGAAAAAAGACGAGTGGAAAAAAAGCCAATAACATTATAATTAAAAAACAAATTAAATAAAAAATCTAAAGGACAGTCATTTATTGGTCAACAGAGTGTTTACTGGTCAGAGCTATGAGTGCTAAAACACCCACATTTAAATGGAATATATCAATACAAAAAGAATTCTTATGGTTCCTAGTACATACAACAAAAACCTTAATTTAGGACAGAAAACAATAGATCTCCCTGTCAGAAAGAATTTACTAAGACACTGCAGCACAATGTTTTTCCCCCTTTTTCAAAACAAAAAATTGACCGAGAAGTGAGTATTGCAGCTTTGAGTAAAGAGAAAAGCATTGATATTGTGAGAATCAACACATTTAGAGCAGTGAAAAGTACGACAGACAGAAAACAGAGGGAAAAGAAAAAATGTCAGACCTATAAATGGCACACTCCAACCACATGCATTTCCCCCAAAAATGTCTGGGGACCGGAAACACCGACAAACACTTGTCAAACACTATAAAAAACATCCTTCAGCTCTCTGCCCACCTGCACAATATCTGGCTTCTCAGCTTCTACATACAGCATAATGATTTCCATGCCCTTTTCCTTGGTTTTCTGTTTGCTGGCATTGAGACACTTTGTCACAACCCCAGACACAACATCATGACATGTCCTGGAGATATAAAGCAAGAAGAACATAAATTCAGTACCACATATTCACGAGATTTTCCATAACTACTAATAATTTAGTTTTAGTAAGAGTTTTACAGCACTTGCAACACAATGATTATAAGGTCATATAAGTGCCGCACAAAATAGAAGGAGGGTAGATAATGACGATAGATGTTCGATAGGAAAAAAGGAACAAACTACACCAAAACACCCGCCAACCACCCACATTAATAATAAATAATAAATGGCATTTGTATTGAATGGAGAACCATGATCGCCGATGTCTGCTGCAGATCTGGCACTGGATGATGATGATGATGAGCATTTGTATAGCGTATAACCCTGCTCTACAGCAACCTCTATGCGCTTTACACTATATTATTACCCCAGCAGATCATAGAACACTCAGAAACATTCTCAAATTCCCAGGAAACATGCAGTGCAAGCAGCTGATTAAGAGCTCAAACACTAACAAACTGACAAGATCTTTCTCTGTCTAAAGCAAATTCAAATTCAAGATGACATTCCGATAAAAAGTATATTTTTAAGTGAAGACTGACCAAACATATGTATCATAAACATGGAACATTTTCACGCTAATGACAAAGTGTAGGCAAAACAGCTCATTTAAAATATAAGGTTATTGGTTTCTTTGGACCTAAATATCCAATGTGCCACAAATACTTAAGCAAAAAACCCGCCAAAACAACAACACTGCAGCATAGTAACAAATTAAAGTTTTACGAGGTCTTAAAAGCATGTTCAGCTGAAACATGTGTTGGATTCAAAAGTAAACAAAGCTGTAAAATTTGACCCAAGATTACCAACAGGACATGGCACTATTTTGTATTGTAAAAGTTGTCTCCCCCCCCAAAAGTAACAAAGTAACAAACCTTCCACATATATTCGTTGAGGCATTTTCAATAAATGCCAAAACAGCATCCAAGCCTTTCTCTTGAGCCACTGCATTACTGTCGGTGACAAACTTTTTCATCAAGCCAGCATAACGGGAGAACTCCTGGCTCTTCTCATCCAGACCTCTGAACAGTTTTGTGGCTTCCTCATATCCCGCCACTCGAGCCTTCCATACCTGTAACAAGAAAGGGGGTCACATCTTTGAGCTTTTTACTCATCAAATTTAACATGATACACCGTGATATACGCTCTGTGTGTGCGTGCGTGTGTGTGTGTGTGTGTGCGCGTGCACACGGCCAAATGGTTAATTGAAATATCATAAACAATCAACTGACAGGCCAATGGAGAAACCATGAAGACGTTGAGTCTCTCATTCGAGAGCATGTAACACAAATTGTAAACAAACACTTAACATTTTTCAAGCTTTTACAATTTACTAGACTAGACTTTGCTTACAGTTAAAGCTGAATTAACTCCAGTCAAGGAGTTTCAGCAGAAGCATTTCTTGTTCTGTATCCCTTCCCAAACCATGTTAAAAAGCAGGTGAGAAACCTACATATTTCTGTGTCTCCTTGGCAAATTCTTTCAAGAAACATTTTCCGCCATGATCATATTCTTTTAACACCACACATGTCTAGGCTAGAAGGAAGACTTAAAGAAAAAGGGGAAGGACTTCATTAAGACTTTCACAATGATCCTGAGAACCACTTTTATCCTAGGTCATTTACAAAACCCTTTTCTATCCCCTTCTTGGAAGAATTTCTAACTTTCTTCCACGCATTATATTATAATAAGACAAACCAGTTCGCTTGCGTCGCACTGTCTGAAATTTTGAAAGATAAGTTACTAGCGAAAGCAAAGTTCAAACCTTATTAGACAAAGAAAAAACTATTCCTTTTTTTTGTTATGAGCAAGCGTTTTATGGCACTTGCAACACAATAAGTTCATATAAATGCCGAAGACTAGAGGTGTTACAAGAGAGTAACAAACACAAAAAAGAAGGAGGAAAGATCAGGACGATAGATGTTTGATAAGAAAGAAGGAGCAAACCACACCAAAGCACCCACCAACCACCCACAAACTATTCCTGTAGATGTTTTCATTGGTAGTCAGTAAAATAACATTACCTCTTCAACAGGAATAGACTTGGACACCGACAATAGATATAACAACAAAATATGAAAGCAGCAGACAGCACCAGAAAACGCGCTTACCACCCGCAATGGGGACAGTGTAGAGACAATAAAGTATTTGCCCCTTCTTTGAAAACAATTTAGAGTGAGAAACAAGACATTTACATGAAAAAGTGTTTAATCAGCACATTATGAGTTAACTTTTTGTCTAGATAAAGCAGCTGTCTAAGTACACTTAGGAGATGTAAATCTTTGCCAAATAAGACAAATAATAAAAACCAAAATAGCAGTGGGCACTGTAATAAATCAAATACCTTGAGCACACACAGAGGAAGAGTACTAAACCAAGAAATGAATGCAGCTGAGTAAATCAAACAGATTTAAAAAATACACTGAGAACTGACAAGAACAACAGCATACCTTATGTTGACACTTCTCTTCTGTTGGTAGCTTCTGCCACTCTGAATCATCACCCATGATGTCTCCTCAACTGAAATCAATCAGAATTCAATACTCATAATTACTAAATATTAAACAACAATTTTTAAAATAAAATATTTATATAAAATTTACACACAATCATCCATCCTGACTTTCTTAATTTCTATATGCTGCAGAAGTGCAAAATTCTTTAACAGGAGCCCTTTACACAAAATTTGTGATGACAACAATTAACAATTGCATCTTTTATACTAAACAGAAAAACCTGCCAGGACAGTAACTTGTTTCTTGACAATTGCTTTTTCTTAAAAGCAGTGGGCTTTTTCTTAAAAGCAGTGGGAGGGAATTCCACACTAACTGAGGGAGAAACTATAAAAAAAATCCCCCACCTCTAATTTAAAACATTTACAGGTTAGCCTTCAGTTCTCATTATCATTTATTATAATGGACTGTAAATAAAAATTTTAAGATGCCATATATACTCCTGTGATAAATTTAAAAATATTGTAGTGCCAGATCATTGTATGTGTTCAAGAAACATTATTTTCGAAATTCAAATTCTTATGTTGAAAAAAGAGAGCAAGAAAAAAAAAATGTATGTAGCCTAGGTGCACTTGTTGGAAGAATGAAAGTTTCTTTTTTCTCAACAGTAAAATTTTTGCTTCCAGGGATTAGTACATTATAATAGTTTTTAGTTTTGTTTAAGTACAGGTTTTTCAATGCTCACAACTGCACAAGGTCATATGAGAATCAAGGGGTGGATGTTAGGGATGGGCAGGTACCGGCACACAGTACCGTAACTCCCGGTTCTACCGAAGGAGGTGTCAGTACCGGAACCCGGCCTCCAGTACTGGCTCTGGGAAGGAGCCAATGCGACGGTTTTTTGACCGGGCCATGGAAAGTGTACAGTGTGTAGGCCTAGGCCTAGCAGCTGTGACGTCAGATGCTCAACGCAGCAGGTGACCTTGATACAGGACTTCAAATTCAAAATTGACAATTAAAAACAAGGTTTGCTTAAATTTAAATAAGGGCATCAAATCAGGTTCTCCGTGAGCCACTTTGCTTATTTTGATACTCTGATTCCGAAAATGAAATCAATTTTTAGCGACGATGACTATCTAAAAAATTCTGCATGCAAAGTTTAATCCCACGCGGCCGCAAACTTCAAAAGGATTTTGCGTCACAGTGTGCCTCTACAATTCTGACTTGTGTGTGTGAAGAATTTTTTTTTGGGGGGGGCGTCGCTGATCGTGGCGAGACTCTAGATGCACAGTCTGTGAGGCCACCTCCTGGTGTCACTCCCAGTACTGGTACTGGCGGTTCTTGGCACCTAGTGTCGAGAAAGTACCGACACTGGGTTTCGCCTGTACCGCCCAGCACTAGTGGATGTCAACAGAGAAATCTTTACAGAGAATCAGGCTTACTCTGCTCACCTCTCTAGCTTCAACAGCACAAAGTCTGCTTCGACTATCAAGGCACCCCAGAAATAGAGGGTCACAAGAGTGTGACAAACATACAAAAGAAGTAGAGGAAAAAATAACGATAGTTAGGATTAGGAAAGAAAAAGCAGCAGTGTCCTGTTGCAGTTCAGGCACAGTTATGACCATGACATCAGCCCATTTTACAATTCTATTGTTATAAGAACATGTTAATGTCCCCCCTTTGGGAATGGCCTAAAGACACTTTGAAGCCAGTAGCACCACCCCGGGGGTACATTACATTATAATAGCTTGCCCACAATACTCTAAGGTATCGAATAAGCGCCCCCCCCCCTCTCCTTATTCCATACCCTCCATTTATTATTTTCCAGCTTGCCATGACTGATGATCATGTGCAACATTATATCTAGAATCTAGATATCTGAATGAAACTCCTTTTTCTTCTTCTTGCCAATGGCAAATTACTGTCAGTATTAGTACTGGTAGCCTACATGGTTGGCTACCTCAATTTTCTGGGCATTTTAAAAACTTCTGTGCATTGGTTTATAGCTTTTAATGAAACTGGTTTGCTCCTAAATGGGAAAAGTTGTCACAGTAACTTACTAAAATCACTAAATATTTCATAATCTCTTGTTTTATTAGTCACTGAAGGAGAAATAAAACAGATTTGTTCCTACTAGTACAAGGGTATGAGATTGAATGTGCCACCCCCCCCCCCTCCCCTTTAAAAAAAAATTAATTTTGGACCACTTGTCCACCCCCTCCCCCTTTATTCAATACCATAGAGTATAAAATATGGCATTGAAGGCGCTATCAACTGAACTTAATGCCACAGACGAGAATTCTCGCATGATTGGTTTCTGCCCAAATGCATCTGAATATTCTCACAAAACCCCTATCATCATCTATTTTCAAAGACAAAAGCTCACAGTAAAAGCGTCGCTCTGCTCTTACTTTTAATGTCAAACAACATGAGTGTACGGATAGCACTCCATTGTTGGTTCACTTTCATCTGTGCGGGTTAAGTTTTTTTTAAAGCTCATTTATTAATTTACCAATGCCATTGAAACTTTGCGTGATCACTTTAAAAAATGATTTACAGTAATCTAACAAACAAATTGCCCATTTTGAGATAAAGACACCATCCAGCCCCACATTTCAGAGTTAGCTTCATAGATTCCATCCTACGGCTGTCTAGACATCTCTATAGAAGTCTCGAAAAGTGTTCACACATTTGGTTTACAAAAAAAAACCCATGGTCGGAACCTTTATTTGTTGTGACTTTCATGAACACACTTTTACAATTTCTTCATCATCCTACTTTAAGTAGACCTGTGTATGCAAAGATGAGAATATTAAACAGAGTGATTTGATTATCTTATCTTGTTTTAACTGCAGTTAGACAAAGTGAACAAGCTATTAATAGATCATATAAATTACATCAGTTCTACATATTTTGCCCCTCTGCTTTTACCTGTTTGATATTTTGCAGTTAGGTTTGACATTTTCTTGAAAATAATTGATTTGTGACCGTTTTTGTGGCTAGGTGTGATCGGCTGCCAAAAAAAATATAGATAGATAAAATATGTATCCGATATCCCCCATATATAATGTCTGTTTGACTCTCAAAAGCACTGCATCTATGTGCAGGAGTGAAAGTAAAAATTTACCATTTTAACTTTAGATAATCATCAACAAGCTCAACTTCAACTGCATCTCCAAGACGATCACAGAATTCAGACTCCTATCCTATTCCTGGCAACAGTTGTTACAGAAGACCTGAGAGGACTACAGGTGTACAGTAGTAGGTCTTGAAAAACGTTATATCAGTCTTACTTTTTCTTACACACACACTTTTAATACATTTTAAACTTTTAGCTTACTTTTACTAGATAGATCTAAATTTAGAATTGATCTAGATATAGTAGAACTCGGATTCAACAGAAGGAGATGGATTCCCCGGTTTTTTTCTTCTTCTTAAAAATCTTTAAAAATAACCCGAATTCAACGAACACTCAACAAATCAGCAAGCTCAGATCCAACGAGGTTGCTTCCAGGGTGAACAGCCCCCGCAGACGTGGCTTCATTCATTTTTCTTTCACAATGAACTTTATCTATTCCTGGAAACTACCCATAGCACCTGCATCATGAACCATTATTCACTTAGCTGATTGCATGCGACCAATCAGCGGCCTTCTTTCATACCAACACATGCTTTATTGGCATGCGCACGTGATTACTCTAGTGTGTGTCGGGGTTGGATGGGTGGCCAGCACACGTGTGACTGTGTGCGGGTGGGGGAGAAGACTGTGACAGTGTGGCGCGAATGTATGACGTGTTTCACGCCCGAACCGATGGTCCCCCCTCCTCAACTGATCATGTTATTTCAATGAAAAGCTATTCTTAACGTACGTAGATCTACGTAATTGTGTGCTGGTCTGTGGAATCAAAAGTTGCCGTATGCTAGGCTCTACACAGCAATACAGCTTTTTGGCAAACAATCGAGATGACACAGACGTGCATTTGAACGAATTTATCTTTTTTTCGCACGGCTCATCACGAAGGCATTTCAGGCACCACTTGTTACTTCTCTTTACACTATAACGTGCTCAGTGCCTGTAATGTTTAATTATCTACACAAAACCTCATGTTTCTTTTAACGAATACTCGGATTCAATGAGATTTTAGGTCAGGCCCGGCGACCTCGTTGAATCCGAGCTCCACTGCATCTAGATCTAGTCTCTTAGATCTATTACTACTGCTATTCAGTTTACAAGTGGATAGCTAGAGAATGAACTAAACGCCATTGGCTAATAATATTTATTTATAGAAACAGCCATCTTGTTTGATGTCATTGATTCCCACTTTGTCAGTCATGGTGGCAACACGACTGCATGACGGCAGCCTGCCAACTCGGATTATTTTCTTTTCAACCTGTAGAACTGTTCGGTTTGGTTGTCTGTGATTGTGCAGCACCCTTCTTTTGCCCAGATTGATTCTGATGTAGTACACTTCGTAAACTGAGAAGAAGAAGACAAGAGTAGGCCCACATCAATTTGGTAACAAAAGCAAGTTCAAAGTTCAATGACGCAGAGCAAATGATCAACCATTTCGATCCGGATCATTTCTTTTAAAGTTTTGTAAGCACAAGAAATAATTTTATAAAGCACTTTTAGAATTTTAAAGAGATTGGACTCAATAGGACGCAAATGGAATAGATCTAATTCGAGACTGCAAGGTTTGCAAATGGATACTGCGAGGTGCAAATGCAGTGTACTACGGGGAACCACTAGGGAAGACTCAAAGAGGGAAGGCAGTACAACAATTACACAAAAAAAGTGGAAGGCGTGGGGGCTCCTGGTAGGGGGGTAAATGAAGGGGCAGAAAGCAGGGGAGGAAGAGGGGCAGGTGAAGGGGTGATGTAAAGGGGGATGGATCATGGGGGCATAAAAAAGGAGAAAAAAGAATCATGTGAGTAGTAATATATAATAAGGCCGTCGTTATTCAGACTCGAGTCCGAATAACATTTTTTCATATTCGGACTCGAGTCCGAATAAAATTTTTAAAAATTTGGACTCGAGTTCGAATGAACATTTTTTATTCGGACTCGGGTCCGGAAAAAAGGAAGTGTCTTCGTTCTATAGATTTAACGTTCAGTGCTTCCAATTTTTCAACATTCTTTAGTTTCCCCCACACCTTTTCTGCCGATCCGATGCCCGCCGCCTCATTGATAGGCCCCCCCCACCCCCCATGTTTCCCACTTTCTTTGTTGTAGAAAAAGGTAAATTTGAAGATTAACAGAACACCTGGCACCTGCATATTATGAGCTGTGTTAAAAAAAAAAAAGACCGATTCGTTCAAATACACAAGCCTGTGTCATATCGATTGTTTACCAAGAAAAAGTTGTGTTGCTGTGTGGAGCTGAGCATACGGCAACTTTTGATTCCATAGACCAGCGCACAATTCATTACGTAGATCTACGTCAAGACTAGCTTATAAATTATTGTAATAATGATCAGTTGCCGGGGGGAATAAGACTGACGCGTATGCGACGTTCAACGCCCGGACCGATAGTGCCCCCCCCCCCTCCCCGACACACACACAGCCACATGTGTGCAGGCCGCCCATCCAACCCCGACACACGCTAACGAGCCATCTTTAATTGCTTCTGATGACCTCTTGACAAATAAACATTTATTAGAAGCGCTATAACTTTTCAGGCCGACCTCAAATTCATCATAAGATTAAAACTCGGCTCCTGCACAAAACGCCTTTTTGACCGAAGTGATCCCGGTCTCTACCCAGCCTGAGGCGAGTCACGAGTGAGGCAGGACAGGAAGCCGGAGTCACGAGTCACAGGAAGTCGGAAGTCGGAACGTGATGTCATGCTGGACAAGAATCAGAGCCCGAATAACATTTTTTCATATTCGGACTCGAGTCAGAATAGTCACTTCGATATAATAAAGGGAGTGTATACAGACCCGGTAACCAGGAACAAAGTCACGAAGTATACAGACCCGGTAGGGGAACTCTTTTGTGATTTTGGAAAGTTTCAGCGCCCTCTTGGCTCAGGGTAGAACTAGGTTCTTCTAGATATCTATGGCCTAGGTTTAAATCTAGACAGACAGACATCATTGATATGTATAGTTTCGAGGCTAGCCTACTCTATATCTCTAAATGAAGATTGCTGATGTCTTTTCGATGATAGATAAATCGTTTTTCCTCCGTTTTGGAGTTGGAGGAATCACAACTTGAAGAAAAGAACAATGTCATAATTTCAATCGAGCAGCCATCCTCTCTATTTCTCTGCCCCTCTCTCTCTCTCCTCTGTCTCTGTGTATCGCTCGCATTCTCTTTTTCTTTGTTTGTCTCTGTCTTTCTTTCTCCCCACTCTCACCTATTTTCCACTCTATCTTTCTCTCGTTCCCTCCTGCCACCTGGGGTATAATGTCATATTTTGCTAGCACTTCCCTCTGCTCTCTCTCTCTCTCTCTCTCACACACACACACAACTAGCGGGTCTGGGCGCTGAAACTTTCCGAAATCACAAAAGAGTTTCCCTACCGGGTCTGTATACTTTGTGACTTTGTTCCCGGTTACCGGGTCTGTATACACTTCGTATTATCATAAAAGCTGTACAGTAGGAGCTTGGAAACAGATTGTTTGTTTGTTTGTTTGGTAAATTTTTACTTTCACTCCCGCACACAGATGCACTGTTTCAGGGGTCAAACTGCTGTACTGTTTGCTGCAGATCACACATAAAGCCACTAAAACTGTCGCAAAGCAATTATTTTCAAGACAATTTCAAATCTAACTGTAAAATATCAAACTATGGGTAAAAACAGGGGGGTATGCCCCCCTGTAACCCCCCAGATTTTCTTTTACCCCAGTGGGGCAGGCCCTCCTGGAACCCCCCGATTGGTCCAAAGCATGTCTATCTCGATTAAAAACAATTAAATATTTCAAAAACTATTAATTTGCGACGGAAATGAAGTTGATATTCATGTTCAGCGCATCAATATTTAGTACAAAATAGACAATTGCCAGTAGCTGAGTGTGAGACGGGAGGGAAAGTAAAAAAAATACCGTTTGTTTTGTTTTGAAGTACGACTGTGGTGCAAGGACACAAGGTGCAAACGGGAGGACTTCCGTAATGAGCGACCTCTATGACTATGAGACAGAGCAGAATTGAGGGCTAAGAGTAGGAGGGGTAGAGGGGTAAATCTAAGGGGTAGGTGTAGGTGTAGGAGGGGTAGGGTTAGGGTTTGGGTTAGGGTTAGGCCTCTTCTTTATTGTGTTTGATGGGGTGGTCGCTCGTTATGGAAGTCATTCTGTGCAAACTGTATAAAGTTGAGGAGTGTCGTTCTCTCTGCTTTCAATTTCGGTAGGCCTACAGTTGAAGAAAGACCACCACAGTACATGTTGTTTCTTGCAGACTTTCTTGCAGTGCAAATCTAGTTAATAAAACTGCTAATCTAAATACAAACTGAGTATCACTAGATTCTAGATCGCTGTCAATACTCATCATGCTTTACTTTACAAGACTAGATCTAGATCTAGATCTAAAATCAACAACTTTGACTTTGGTGTCACCCAAGATCAACAAGAAGTAGAAATAGAAACAGAAACAGAGAGAGAGGCTCTGACCATAATGCCATACAATATGAATAATACTCGATCAACTCTCTTCCACGTCTCTCAAAAACAAATGCATCAATGACTAAATACTCACCAGCAATTTGTTATTGGGGGGAAAATTGTAATAGATCTAGTTTAAAATAAAAGGCAAAATTCTCGTAGGTCACAAATAAAACGAAGACAACCTAGTCAAAAGATTACACTCCTTGATGAATGTTAGGCCCAGTCTAGGCCTTCTCTCTCTCCGAAGTGTTGACAGAGATCCAGATGGATTGCTTCCCTTGCACCATTCCCAGTTTTGAATTTTTATATTGCCTGTTTGCCAAAAGGAATGCTGCTCGTGCACAGATCATCCAGTCATGGGGGGGGGGGAGAAAATAATATTAAGGCAACGGAAAATAGCAGTGATAAACAAAATTATAATGTTATATCATATTATTTGAAATGAGATAATGTAATATATTAAAATTAATATGATTTCTTATGACTGGAGATTGACCATAGTCAATAAAAAAAATATTTCTAGTTGCCCCGGTTTTTTTGAGCGTTTTTTAAAATATGCGTTGGAGTATCTGGCAATGAAATGAATCATTGGTTAGACTAGTTAGAGTGGAGAATACTGGAGATCAGATAGGCTAGCAATATGTAGGACCTAGGCCTAGATCAAGATAATAATAGATTTGTTCACAGGGCAATTCATTTGTCGACATAATTTGGGTCAATTCATCATTGTGTTGAGTTGAGCAAAATTATTTTAATAAGACTCTACCGATCTCACCCTTTCTTTACGCGTAATAGCGGGCGCTTTTCACTAATGAAATTCGGACAGTTTTAAACGTGATAAACTACATCAACACTACATGCGATAATAGGCCTACTATTATTAGGCCTCTATTATTATTATTATTATTATTATTATTATTATTATTATTATTATTAGAAAAAGTAACATGACAGCAAAAAAATAAGTAAACTACAAATTTAAGATTAGTGCAATAAACACACCTAATATGCGTATTTCCCAAAGGATATTTATCCAGTTAAATTATTATTTAATTTACATTTGGGGGGCGGGGGGGGGGGTTACGGCGCACTCGCAACTGTATGTAAAGGTCATGAGCGCGCGGGACACCTAACATTTTCAGTTGGTAGGAAATTTTGACTTTTGCCCGGGTGACGGCCGAAGCCTATACTCTTATCGATTTTAGACCACCAAGGGGTCTTGAACGTGCGCAACTTGCACACTAGACCTCCCAGATTTTCCTCCTTTGTCCGAGAAGGCTAGGTGTATATTTTTCCTTCCATAAGATCGGGGGTATGGCTGAAAGACAGAGCAATTAAGGAGGAGCCAAGGAGAAGCAGGGCTGCAGAAAGAGTCAGAAGTCCAGAGAAGGGAGCATAGAAGGTGAAGGAGTGGGGCAGAAAGTGGAGATGAAAGCCGACGACAGAATATTGCCAGAGAGCAGGGAGGTGAAAGGATCGAGACAGTTTTATACGGGGTGCCCATTACGGCTGGATCGGGCCAATCGCACGATTGAAACTGAAAACAAATACGTTTGTTTTAGAGGCGACTCCGTATAATGGGCACCCCGTATTATTAGAGACAAAAGTTTTTCCCCGTCGCTACCCGGATTCGAACCCTCCACCTTTGAATGAGAGGCGAACAGCTTGACTTCTAGGCCACGAGAGCCTCCATATACAGGGGAAAGCCGGGAGGCTTCAGACACTTTTTACGTTTGGCTGCACTGCTCGCTTCAGGAACAATTCAAGCCTAAGAAAAATGTTTCACCATTATAAGCCATTTGGGTCTCACTGTGAGTGATATCAGTTTCGTGCACTATCACGTTTTACCGCCAGTGTGTCATCTGAGGTACCCTGAGATGTCTGAAACAATCGACCCACTCTACGGGAGACATCGGACAAACTCGAGGGAAACTTCGGACAAATATTATATCTCATGTCTCAAATATTATTTTTAAGAGGCAAAATTTCGACTCAGCATACATCTATACTTTTATCTTTTGTTTTAGGTGTTAAATTGCATTTCACGCTCACTGGAAATCGTAGAAAAGAGTGATCCAACCATATCTATACACCAGTCCGCTTTTACTTACATTTGTACGTGTTGACTTGAAATCACCTCTTATCATTGTAAAACAGAGCTCAGTGATGCCCCTAATAACAAGCAAATGTCTGTCGGCGTCTGGATTTGGTGAGAGCAGAACATTAATTAAGGTGCTACATTTCCTAAGTTATTATTGCTATTTCTCTCTGCTCTGGTTCGAACCTAGGTATGTGTGTTCTTGAACATGGGCTATTTGAAGGGTTTTCAATAATTTTCATGGCTTCCCATCACGTCCTGACGAATAAGGACGTAAAATCGGAGATCCACCATCTCAAATCTTAATGACCTGACAGTTATAGTGTTCAGGGAAGCGTTCTACCACAACCATATCAAAATAGTAAGGGAAATAAAGTCTGCAGATTGAAACAGAGCTTCAAGTGTTGCCCTTTGAGCTTTTGAAGATAAACATTCAAACACACGAGACACTTCAGGGGAATAGAAATTAAAGGTTGCCATTTTAACAGCAAACTTTTATAGGTCTAGGAGTTTTATGGCCTCTTTGTTGAACTTCAAATCGGAAGAGGAATAACTGGTTTCATCATTGTACAATGGCCACATCATCCACAAGTAGATAGATGGAAAAAATTGCTTTCTTGTAAGATTTTCTAAGGGAAGACACTCAAAGTCACGCTCTTCGTCTTTCTCCGACACAATAATATTAATATGCCCAATGCCAATGAAGTGGACACACTTCCCAATTATCCGAAGTTCGATGACAACAAAGTTACGCACGGGAACAGCGCCACATTTGAAGTAGAACCTATAAAAGCTTGTCTTTTCGGGTAGGTTTTGAAAAATAGCATGTTTCTAGCATTATAGTATTTTTCACCGTGAAATATAATATCTTTTTATCTTGACAAACGTCGGATTAGAAGAACATCCCTGATCATTTTATCAAATTATACTCCGAGAGTTTTTGTTTGTTTGTTTGTTTGTTGTTTTTTCCTCCAGAGGACGATCCAAAAATTGTGCAATCGTAAACTACTGTCTCTAAAACCCACAAATAATTATTTTTACACCTTTTTCTAAACAGTCTTTTAGAGTACGGTAGATTTCTTTACATTGCACATGGCTACTGCACGGCGCAAAGGCAATGAGTCATTAACAGGTGAGTGCATGGAGAGTTTCATCTTTTTGTGAACTAAAAGGCTCTTTTCTTTTTGGGGCTCTATATTTCCTTGACATGGCTCGGCCAGGGAAATACAACAACAACACGTATATACGTTTTTAAAATCCAGTTTTCATAGAAACTCTTGATTCCAGCTACTCTTACATTAATCGTCGGGAGACTTCGAAGTCCTTCCACCCTCTTTACGAAGTCTCTCAAAATGGGGGTAGTGTAGGAAACATGTTCAGGAAACTGAAATCATGAAAGTTAGGTTTAATTTTAAGAATTCGGCACGTAACAGGCACCATTAAACACAGATACATAGATTTCTGAAAGGATTGGTGCATTATGATTTATCATGACGTGTAAAACCTGACAAACTGAAGTGTGAAAACTTAGTTACATCCTTGTAAAAACACAATTTCCTTCACAGTAGCTGAAAGATTTCGCTCAGTGAGATGTAAAAAACGAAGCAAGCTAAACCTCATATGACACATTATATGATCCAGTGACAATGTCAACACTGTAGTTAAGCCAGAGCGAGAATTGACGTGGCCGAGACCTCCCCACTCTCTCCTATAATAATAATAATAATAATAATAATAATAATAATAATAATAATAAGTATATGTACAGAATACGAGAGAGAGAAAGAGAGGAAACCACGGATAAACATCGGGGATAAAATATCTAATATATAGTATATATAATGTGTATTACGTACTTATCAAGACACACATAAACACACCCAAATACACCCAAACATACCAAAACACACACAAACAAACATATCAA